TTTAAAAATTGTAGATAGTTGTCCTTCGCTCAGGACTTATTGACACTTTGAATTTTATTTTACTATCTAAGAGTTAAAATACAGTTAAATTAAATATTTAATGATTGCAATCCTTTAAGTAATGATTAATTTAGATCCAATATGATATACTATACGTATACTATAGAGATTTTTACCTACATTAAAAATCAGTGAAAAATATGGGCGTGGCATGTGATCGACTTTCCCGGTGGAGTTTGAACTTACAAATTTTGTTGGTTGTTATTAAGCCTTATGAACGTCGGATTTAAAGCTTTGTTCAAAAATTATTTGGATATGTTTTGGTTTTATAACGTATAGTTATTACATTTTTTACTCTTATCTGCCTGAATTTTAATTGCATTCCACTGAATCTTAACTTCAAAATTGTTCGGTAATTTCATTGACAATTATAACTATCCCAACTTAACTAGTTGAAGTTCCATTGCATTGGCGCCATATAATTATGATGATGATTCAAATAGTTCGTTACAATAACCCTACTTGTGCTCCTTAACCAGAATGTCCCATGAAGTCCTTGCTGCTGCAAACTGTTATTTTCCTAAGTGTGCTGATTGTGTTGACTGCTGAAAATAACGTAAACAGTGCTGCGAAATCACCTAGTTTTGAGAAATCACCTAGTTTTGAGAAATCACCTAGTTTTGAGAAATCACCCAGTTTTGAGAAATCACCTAGTTTTGAGAAATCACCTAGTTTTGAGAAATCACCCAGTTTTGAGAAATCACCCAGTTTTGAGAAATCACCTAGTTTTGAGAAATCACCCAGTTCTGAGAAATCACCTAGTTTTGAGAAATCACCTAGTTTTGAGAAATCACCTAGTTTTGAGAAATCACCTAGTTTTGAGAAATCACCTAGTTTTGAGTAATCACCTAGTTTTGAGAAATCACCTAGTTTTGAGAAATCACCTAGTTTTGAGAAATCACCTAGTTTTGAGAAATCACCTAGTTTTGATGAAGAGTCTCATGAGAGTTATAGCGTACAAACCATCTTTAGCGAGTGAATTGTATTGATCTTATAAAATAAACGTTATCCCAGATTATTCTCACCAACAATGACCAATGAAAAACCCTGAAGGTTTGCAAAATAACAATTTATGGAAAACCCTTTTCCAAAATCATTATAATTTCAGATATCTGAAGAAGCTTAAGATAGCTTACACTGCATTTTACATTCTGTGTGGAGTTTTCTTTGTTTCTTTGTCTTATCATTCCCATTTTTCTGTGGCTTCAGAGCTCGTGGTGTCCTGAGACACTTACTAGTTACCGTGGTTACTAACTAGTTACCATGGTTACTAACTAGTTACCATGGTTACTAACTAGTTACCATGGTTACTAACTAGTTACCATGGTTACTAACTAGTTTTCTTTGTCCTGTCATTCCCATTTTTCTGTGGCTTCAGAGCTGGTGGTGTCCTGAGAGGATCCGCTGCTGCTGAAACTCAATCACTTCTTGGGAATTTGGACAAAGGGTCTGCCTTTTCATGTTTTCAGTTTATCGGGACCACTTGTTTGGGAACTGGACTTTCTGTTGTTCTCTTCATTACTTGTGGCATATCAAGCCTGATTTTATATTTGGCTCATCGCTACTCAAAGTAGGTCTAGCTTTCCCTTCCAGTACGAATTGAAGTTGTATGTTTAGCAGCTGTTAAAAAATCAAATGCATTAAAATGAGTATTTTGATGCCATTTTTGGACATCTGATTATACTGCCCAAATTTGACAAAAGGAAGTATGTGCATTTTTGACTTTTCGAGATAATGGCAAGTTTGTGATGGCCGTTTTTTTCACCTTATAGGTTGAAATGTTTTCTTGGGATAATGTTTTTTAATCCAAAATTGTCAGGAAAAACTTGTGAGACTTCATCCATTCCCTCTTCTTTGACCATTTTTCCTCAAAAACGACCGCTTATTGCCAGCTTTTCAACGGTATATAAAACTCCATATCTTCAAAAATGTCACATACGCTTTTTTGTCAAATTTGGGCAGTATAGTTACTAATAACTATGATTGATTTCTCGAAGTCATGATAATGAATTAGTCGGGGTTTTATCCATTCATTAAGTTAAATTTTGTATTATATTATCTTGTTTAAAATGCAACTTTCGGTAATGTTTAATTTTATACATTTTTAAATGAAATGACATACTGTCAGTTCATCGCCTTGGTGGAAATCAAAAAACCACTATCATCACACATAGTGTTTAATTAATTTAAAAAAAAAATTTATTTTGTATATTATATATTATAAGTTATAACCATGGTTTACTAGCGTTTAATTAAATTATGAATTTAAATTGCTTGAGCACAAAGCCAGCGTATTGGAGATAGAGTAACAGCAGTTTATTACAATATTTAAAATTCAATTGCAGTGCTAAAATAAATTTGCTGATTTTATACTTTTATATTTTTAAACATTTTATGATTCATATTTACTCTCTCACGATTGTTACTTGAAGTCATAATCATGAGTCGTTCAGAATTTACGTCAATATGTTTTATATCATTTTTTTAAATTTATTGAAAGGTGTGTAACATCATTAATTATTAAATTTACTGAAACATTTATGTGCATACGATTCACGATTTAAGTGTTACTTATGAGTGTTTCATTATTATCTTATTAGTTCAACCAATATTCAAATTTAACCAAATTATATACAATTTTTGTTGTTTTCATTTGCTTCTTGTGTGATTCAATTGAACCAAATACAAGTTATAGTATTCACTGAATTATTATAATCAGTCATATTTGAATGTAAAAGCATAAGTGTCATAATTTAGACATAACTATAATTCATAAAGAAACCATCTAAACCCTTAAAAGGATATTAATAATGTTCATTTTCTGAAATGAAAGTGTCGTTAAAACTTTGAAATGATTTAAAAGCAAGGCACTGCGTGGACCAAGCTGTCAAATTCCAATATTTAGTTTGCAATTTTCAGTCAAACTGCCAAACAAAACATTAAACGTTACTATAGCTGAAAGTCTCAGTGAGTTCTCTCAGTTAAACATCACTATAGCTGAAAGTCTCAGTGAGTTCTCTCAGTTAAACATCACTATAGCTGAAAGTCTCAGTGAGTTCTCTCAGTTAAACATCACTATAGCTGAAAGTGTCAGTGAGTTCTCTCAGTTAAACATCACTATAGCTGAAAGTCTCAGTGAGTTCTCTCAGTTAAACGTCACTATAGCTGAAAGTCTCAGTGAGTTCTCTCAGTTAAACATCACTATAGCTGAAAGTCTCAGTGAGTTCTCTCAGTTAAACATCACTATAGCTGAAAGTCTCAGTGAGTTCTCTCAGTTAAACATCACTATAGCTGAAAGTGTCAGTGAGTTCTCTCAGTTAAACATCACTATAGCTGAAAGTGTCAGTGAGTTCTCTCAGTTAAACATCACTATAGCTAAAAGTCTCAGTGAGTTCTCTCAGTTAAACATCACTATAGCTGAAAGTCTCAGTGAGTTCTCTCAGTTAAACATCACTATAGCTGAAAGTCTCAGTGAGTTCTCTCAGTTAAACGTCACTATAGCTGAAAGTCTCAGTGAGTTCTCTCAGTTAAACGTCACTATAGCTAAAAGTCTCAGTGAGTTCTCTCAGTTAAACATCACTATAGCTGAAAGTCTCAGTGAGTTCTCTCAGTTAAACGTCACTATAGCTGAAAGTCTCAGTGAGTTCTCTCAGTTAAACGTCACTATAGCTAAAAGTCTCAGTGAGTTCTCTCAGTTAAACATCACTATAGCTGAAAGTCTCAGTGAGTTCTCTCAGTTAAACATCACTATAGCTGAAAGTGTCAGTGAGTTCTCTCAGTTAAACGTCACTATAGCTGAAAGTGTCAGTGAGTTCTCTCAGTTAAACATCACTATAGCTAAAAGTCTCAGTGAGTTCTCTCAGTTAAACATCACTATAGCTGAAAGTGTCAGTGAGTTCTCTCAGTTAAACATCACTATAGCTGAAAGTGTCAGTGAGTTCTCTCAGTTAAACGTCACTATAGCTGAAAGTGTCAGTGAGTTCTCTCAGTTAAACGTCACTATAGCTGAAAGTGTCAGTGAGTTCTCTCAGTTAAACATCACTATAGCTAAAAGTGTCAGTGAGTTCTCTCAGTTAAACGTCACTATAGCTGAAAGTCTCAGTGAGTTCTCTCAGTTAAACGTCACTATAGCTAAAAGTCTCAGTGAGTTCTCTCAGTTAAACGTCACTATAACTGAAAGTGTCAGTGAGTTCTCTCAGTTAAACGTCACTATAGTTGAAAGTCTCAGTGAGTTCTCTCAGTTAAACATCACTATAGCTGAAAGTGTCAGTGAGTTCTCTCAGTTAAACATCACTATAGCTGAAAGTCTCAGTGAGTTCTCTCAGCTAAACATCACTATAGCTGAAAGTCTCAGTGAGTTCTCTCAGTTAAACGTCACTATAGTTGAAAGTGTCAGTGAGTTCTCTCAGTTAAACGCCACTATAGTTGAAAGTCTCAGTGAGTTCTCTCAGTTAAACGTCACTATAGTTGAAAGTCTCAGTGAGTTCTCTCAGTTAAACGTCACTATAGCTAAACATCACTATAGCTGAAAGTCTCAGTGAGTTCTCTCAGTTAAACATCACTATAGCTGAAAGTCTCAGTGAGTTCTCTCAGTTAAACGTCACTATAGCTAAAAGTGTCAGTGAGTTCTCTCAGTTAAACATCAATATAGCTGAAAGTCTCAGTGAGTTCTCTCAGTTAAACATCACTATAGCTGAAAGTCTCAGTGAGTTCTCTCAGTTAAACATCACTATAGCTGAAAGTGTCAGTGAGTTCTCTCAGTTAAACGTCACTATAGCTGAAAGTGTCAGTGAGTTCTCTCAGTTAAACATCACTATAGCTGAAAGTCTCAGTGAGTTCTCTCAGTTAAACATCACTATAGCTGAAAGTCTCAGTGAGTTCTCTCAGTTAAACATCACTATAGCTGAAAGTCTTAGTGAGTTCTCTCAGTTAAACATCACTATAGCTGAAAGTCTCAGTGAGTTCTCTCAGTTAAACATCACTATAGCTGAAAGTGTCAGTGAGTTCTCTCAGTTAAACATCACTATAGCTAAAAGTCTCAGTGAGTTCTCTCAGTTAAACATCACTATAGCTGAAAGTCTCAGTGAGTTCTCTCAGTTAAACATCACTATAGCTGAAAGTCTCAGTGAGTTCTCTCAGTTAAACGTCACTATAGCTGAAAGTCTCAGTGAGTTCTCTCAGTTAAACGTCACTATAGCTGAAAAGTCTCAGTGAGTTCTCTCAGTTAAACGTCACTATAGCTGAAAGTCTCAGTGAGTTCTCTCAGTTAAACGTCACTATAGCTGAAAGTCTCAGTGAGTTCTCTCAGTTAAACATCACTATAGCTGAAAGTGTCAGTGAGTTCTCTCAGTTACACATCACTATAGCTGAAAGTCTCAGTGAGTTCTCTCAGTTAAACGTCACTATAGCTGAAAGTCTCAGTGAGTTCTCTCAGTTAAACATCACTAGGTATAGCTGAAAGTCTCAGTGAGTTCTCTCAGTTAAACGTCACTATAGCTGAAAGTGTCAGTGAGTTCTCTCAGTTAAACATCACTATAGCTGAAAGTCTCAGTGAGTTCTCTCAGTTAAACGTCACTATAGCTGAAAGTGTCAGTGAGTTCTCTCAGTTAAACGTCACTATAGCTAAAAGTCTCAGTGAGTTCTCTCACGGTCTTACCCTGACCGGAATAGTACTCCAGTTCGGTTGGAATAGCATGTTCAGCATGACTTGATGCTTCATACTGCGGGGGAGGCAGTGTCTGCATACCCTCTGGTGTCTTGGAAGTGGGAGGATCAGAAGGAGGATCAGTAGAAACACTTGATACTTCCTCCACTGGAGGTAGAACCTGCTTCTCTGGAGGGAGGGACGGCGAGTGTGTGGATGGCATGGGCAGGATTATTGTAGCTTTTCTTGTCTCCCGGCTTGGAATGTACTCTTTAACTCGCATGGTAGGTACAACCTCTTTTAAATCACTCAATTTGCAGGTGATAGCTATGATAATAATCACCATGCCAGCTAAGATTATAGACACAATTACGGTTATCACTATTATCAGGGCTATTTCACTACTGTCTGATGATCGCTTTTGTAGTCGGCTTTCTTTCTTTCTTTCTTGTTCCTCCTGAATAAAGTAAGGGTAAAGTAGGGTACACAAGTTCTTAAACTAATGTTGTCCTCGCATGGTAAAACTACGTATATATTATTATATAATAAGACTATCAGTATCAACCGTAATATCATACAGTGATTAGGGGTCGTTCACATTATACTACGTAATCACTTTTTGGAAAATTTTAAACCCCCCTCCCCCCCCCCCCTCCGTAATCAGTTTTACACATAGCTATTGTGTTAAAATTACACTAGCGTACTCATTTGGAAACCACCTGGCCCCTCACCCCCCCTCACCCCCCCCCCCAAATTTGATTAATTAATTAAGAATAGACATTTTCTGAAAAACGCTCGAAAGACACAATGTCATCATACAATAAACTGGACTCTGTCTAATTATAACTGCAGGATGATATCCATCCTCGGTGGGTTTGCACTGTCATCTAAGGAGTCCAGATTCTTGTCTATAATAGGCGGTTACAATGTGTAACGTATGCATTGCTGATCGCTTTAATACTGCGATTTCAAAATTGGGCATAGTAATCACTGAGTATAAAGTAACTTAACTTTTGTAGAGTCCTCTGAAGTGAAATTTTACGCTGTATAAAATTTAAAATGTACTGCAATTCACCTATTTTAGATAGGCTTTTAACTTACGTTGAAGACGTTGAGAGCTGACAGGAGATTAAGTACTGAAGCAAGAAGGAAGGAGGTGAAGGTCAGGTCTCTCAGAGTCATAACTAGTATCTAACACTCCTCTAACTAACACGTGGTGTTGTTTGTAGAGTTACATGCCTGGTGCTATTCTGGTTCTACGTTAGAAAACAAATAGTCATTCAAAGTAAGTAATGTAATGGATAATTTAACTAAATGCTCTGGCTAGTTTAGTTTCTATGTGCAATCTATAAAAGAAACTTATTTAAATATAGATTATTGTTGATAAGGTGATGATAATCAAGCGAGCAATAGAAGGTAGACGATTAAGCAATCTCATTATGATATGTAGTTAAAAGTTAATCAGTGGTAAATAATGACACAACTTGTAGAATTTAGAATAGGTCAGATATATATGATCTGAAGAAAAGCCCCACTACTATAATAATAAAACATGCAGATGTAACATACGCCTGAGATATAAAGGTATTATGTAACACATACATGCAAACATTGGGGAAACAATACAATTCAAATTATATACATAGTATCAATCATATTATAGAAATACGAAGTATCTATATTTATCTAATTTTAAAATGTACTAATACTTCAATATTATAGTCAACATTTAACCAGTGTACCAAAAGCTGGTCCCCAAACAAACGAAGTTCGCAATAATAACCTCATATTACAAGCACTGGGAGACTGAATGGTTTGTAGCCTTGCAAACCTACATACTATAGCTAGTAGTGTGTTAGTCATACCATGTTTAACTAATTACCTACTCTTTCAAAATTAGTTTTTTCCGATCATCTTAAAAGTTCGATTAAGTCGTGTGCTGTTATCAATTTATTTTTTGAAATTATCTTGAAACTTTGTGGCATATTTTTCTCTAGAGTAATTCCCAAATTGAAATTGGTCGTCCAACCAGAAAAATGCCAAATTAAAAATTCTGATTATACCTTAACATTAAAAAACTAGTGTTTTACATCAAAAACGTATAAAACTCCAAACATTTCAGTTGTTTTAGTCAGGTGAACCAATGAACTCCTCGGAGAGTTTGTTGAAGTTGAAGGTGTCAGTGACTCTTCAGAGAGAGAGAGAGAGAGAGAGAGAGAGAGAGAGAGATAGAGAGAGAGAGATTGACTTCTCTGAAGGTCTGACCACGACAAGAATAGTAGATCAGTGTGTGTGTGTGTGTGTGTGTGGTGTGTGTGTGTGTGTGGTGTGTGTGTGTTCAGTGGACACCGCATGTTCAGTATAATGTGAGGGGTCATGTTGTGGAGGGGGTTTGTATGTCTTTGAGTCTTTGGTATTGTATCACGTGATGCTTCCTCCACTGTTGTGGAGCCAGGGTGGTAAGACATGTGGAGGTGGGACAGGGATAGATGGTCCTGTTTCTATTAAGTCCTGTGCAGATGTTATCAACTCTCTTGTCTCTTTCACGTTTCCTCTCTTTTTCGCTTTCTTTCGTTCAGAAGCTAACTATTTTAAGTTTGTTCCCATATCCTCTTATAGTCTTATCGCGGCCAGCAGAAAACTCCTTCTCCTGGGCTCTTCTTTTCCTCTCAAGTGTTCGGGAAAACTCTTTCTCTTGCATTTCTCTTCAGTGCGATGAGAGAGAGAGAGAGAGAGAGAGATAGAGAGAGAGAGAGATTGACTTCTCTGAAGGTCTGACCACGACAAGAATAGTAGATCAGTGTGTGTGTGTGTGTGTGTGGTGTGTGTGTGTGTGTGGTGTGTGTGTGTTCAGTGGACACCGCATGTTCAGTATAATGTGAGGGGTCATGTTGTGGAGGGGGTTTGTATGTCTTTGAGTCTTTGGTATTGTATCACGTGATGCTTCCTCCACTGTTGTGGAGCCAGGGTGGTAAGACATGTGGAGGTGGGACAGGGATAGATGGTCCTGTTTCTATTAAGTCCTGTGCAGATGTTATCAACTCTCTTGTCTCTTTCACGTTTCCTCTCTTTTTCGCTTTCTTTCGTTCAGAAGCTAACTATTTTAAGTTTGTTCCCATATCCTCTTATAGTCTTATCGCGGCCAGCAGGAAACTCCTTCTCCTGGGCTCTTCTTTTCCTCTCAAGTGTTCGGGAAAACTCTTTCTCTTGCATTTCTCTTCAGTGCGTAGGAGATGAATTTAATTATAAATAAAAATTTAATTATAAATAAAAATTTAATTATAAATAAAAATTCCGGTAGCAGTCATCACAGCGACCACAATCATCGCTACTTTGAGAGAATCATCGCTTACCAAATAGTTTTGGTCTTTTTTCATTGTACAGGGCCTGCTTCCTGGCTAATTTTCTATATATTCCTGAATTATTTAATATATAATTGTTATTATTTAATTGTAATACATCAGAGTATCAAAAAAGGAAATACAAACAAACTGTACAACAAATCCGAAATAAGAAAAATGTGCCCACAGCATTTACAATGCTACCAACATACAGAGAGACACAACTTACATTGAAGCTGACAGGAACTCTTCCAATAAAGGAAGATAATGAGAAATTAAAATCCTTGTCCCTTATAGCAACACTCCTTCAGCTATGCACGGTTTGTACAGCTACATACCTGCTGCTATTCTGTTACTGTGTTAGTAAAATATGAGGGCTTGTGAGCATCAACCTTAAAATAGTCTTTGGTCTTCAGTGAAATTAGATTTTACATTGATTCATAAACAACCGGGTAAGACAAAATTAACTGTGAATTTTTAGATTAATTATATTGACTATCATTCTTCAGTCGATACTATGTTAAAATTTGCCAACCCTGTAACAGTATATAGTTTGGAGGAGATATTTATTACCACTGTCTGTTGAGTGAAAATAAATAATTATCATTAATTACAAATATAATAAATACATAAAACGTTTACTTCATGCATCTATCTTGGTATTGGGATAGAAATAAATTTACAGAAAACATATCACATTGGACAGCAAGTTATTGGTTTTTATGTTTCGCTTCTCAATCTTATAAGTCCTTAAAACTACCCAATGAAGGTGAGTGCTTTATTGTTTGAACTATACAATATCGTTACAAACTTTTAAAACCCAACGAAACAAATGAGACCCGTTTTTACCCGCAGAGTGCACATCTTCAAATGTCATGTCCTTGATCAGTTTCCTGACCTCTTTCAAAACTTTATTGTCAGCCACAGTAAAGTTACTTATCCTAGACATCAACGAATTTTCTCTGCTCCCTTTCATGAGTATAAGAATATTGCTCCAATTTGACAGGAGCTTCCGATCCTCTCCAAGTAACATAAAAACAGCCACCATAGTGTTGTGAACAGGTAGCGGTGGAGAAGTGTAACTCTTCAGTTCGGCTACAATGGGGCGTGTCAGTGACTCTATATCAGCACATATCTCCTGCAGAGTCTGAGGAGGAGGGGTGTAGTTGAGAGTTGTTGGTACCCCGGAGGTTAACGGTCGGGAGGGGATGTCCTCCAGGGGTGGGGGTGAGATCTGGATTTGTGGTGTCTCTGGAACAGGTGATATGGTTCGTTCCCTCTGTTTCCTCATCTTCCAGAATATGAAGAATATGATCATTACCATACCAGTCAGGATGATAGTTGCGATAACCACCATGACAGTAGCTGCAGCATCCTCTGTTGACCTCTTGTGTCTGTTGTGTAGTCTCTCTTTCTCTCCGCTTCCCTGTGTAATTTATACAATGTTATTGTTATCAGAATAAGATACTTTTATAAATCATATAACTCCTGATTACTCTGCATGGTGGTCAAATCAGTACATCAACTTTTACCTCCACAAGTTTATGCATAATTAACAAGTTCTTACCTTATAACCTAGAAAGGCATTTCCGTAAATGAACCCATCATTCTCCATGAAGGAATATCCACTTTGAATAATCCTCTACTGAATATATGTTACATATTCACATGCCTGAGGTTATTTTGTCACAGATATGGTCACTGTAAATCTAACAATATCACTGAACAGTAAAAGATATAGCCGTTCACAACGAACGCAAACCTTAAAACTAAAATAGTAGGTAAATTAGAGGCTCATATCAAGTAACTACATTACGAAAATTCAATATATTTATTATGATTATACGAAGATCATGCTCTTACGTTAAAATATAAATTTGGATATATTGCAGGGAAATTCCTTAATTAATCTCCGTTAACCCATTTGCAGTGGGTACAACGTCTCAACGCTAATGTACTACAGGGAATTTGATATAGGTATGCGAGGAAATAGGAATATAGATGTAAATGTGATCTAGGAGCTAGGAGAATGAGTCTCCTAGCTGCAGCACAACAACAACAACAACAACCACAGTTCTTCACATCATCACAGCCCAGACAGCAACACAAACTAGAGCATCACAATATCAACTCACTATAACATAAAGACAGAGAGAGAGAGCCATCATCCAATAGTCAGACGAGGAGGGGTCACGGGTTATAACAATAATTGTACTTCACATGCTACAAGACTTTGAGATGAGTCGAACAATGCTTGACACTACCTCTGAATTATAAGATAAAAAATATACGAGCAGTAGGACATATATTTAACAAGAAATATTACAATAGAAAACACGTCAGCCCAGCAAAGAGACTGTGCTATAATAGGGCAGGGTACTCAGAGGTAGAAGTGTCAAGTTTCTGAACCCAGGGGCGGGTGTTTTATGATGCAATCCTACATTCTGGATAACTAGAATAATGGTCACGCGACAGCTTAATGGAGTTAACTTATTTGGAGAAATGTAGAAATGTATAAAGTTACTAACATGATTTGCGCTATGATTCGAAGAGATGCCAGCTACTGCGGAAATTGTGAAATGCTTATCAGTCGCATGATTTGTAAATTCGATAAGTAATCTGAGCGGCCTTCTCTTTATTTGTGGTTTATCAAGTATTATATTTTGTGGTGCCTTGCGCCCTTGCTTGTGAACTCTTCGTGCCTGGTTGAAAGTTTAGTTGAAACTGCTTGCGAACTCTTCGTCAGCTGTTATGAAAGTTAGTGTTTAGGTTTATTTAGCGAAGGAATAAAGTCACCACAAAAAAATTGATTTAGCTTTCAGGCGAGCCAAATATTGTATTTGTATGGTGAGGTAAAAGCGTAGGAACGGGTACCTGTGCTTTTTTGATTTCGAAAACCAAAGTTTCGTTTTTAAAAGATGAGCATGCATCTGGGTCAACAAGGCCATCAATCGGTACATCAAACTGTGTGCTATTTGAACTGTTGGTAAGGGGGAAATGTACTGGCAGCATTACAACTCTCAAATTCAGCTCTGTGGGTAACGGGAAAATGTACTGGCAGCATTACAACTCTCAAATTCAGCTCTGTGGGTAACGGGAAAATGTACTGGCAGCATTACAACTCTCAAATTCAGCTCTGCTTAGCATATGGTTTGTTGCATTGTAATCATTTATATCTAATCATTTGCTTACCTTATTCGTTCTAACTTCTAAGTGTCCAATAATTCTTGGCAAGACTTCTTGTTCTCTGGAAAGCTCGTTCCTTTTTAACTGTTCATCACGGAACGTTTATTCTACTCTTGTATTGGTGGAAGCTGGATACATCGTTCCTTTGTAACGAGCTTGTTCATCACTAGACCGTTTCTTCTACTCTTGTATTGGTGGAAGCTGGTTACATCCTTTAGTGGGACTAGTCTGATGTGAAATTGTTTTCAAGTTCTTAAGTTCTGTACCACTGATATTCATATACCTCTCCCTTCTTAGTTTAGCATCTCTCCTCCTCAAGTCGTAGGAGATGATTCTCATGATGATGACAATGAGGAATAGGGTAGCAGCTGCGATAACTGTTATCCCTGTAGAATAATAAACGTTTTTCTTTGTATCCGATAGATTCTTTATCTTCTTTTCAGCGTTTACTCTGTCTTCACTGTCTGCCTACCGGGAAGATATTTGTTAAAAGGTAAAAGAAGAATGAAAGAATGAATTTAAAATAACAAACAGTTAATTGCGGTCACGTTGGTTTTTGGTTTCTCACGAATATGTATATCTTGGTCTAGTTTGAAGAACTGGACTCAGAATAATTAATTAAACATGTTATCAAACGAAACAACAAGCATACACTTTGCCGAGTTGAAAGCGATACCGACTGTTAGCTTACATTGAATATAGAGTAAGCCTCGCCGAGTAGGGCCAGGGTTTGAGCAAGTAGACAAGACAGTAAGTTTAACATATCTTTAGTTTGTTGAAACCCAGCCCTCGGTCTAGAGAAGGGACTGTTGTTGCACTACATGCCTAACAAAGTCTCTTTGTTGGATTCGACATGAGAATTGAGAAAGATTTAACAGAAATTAAACAATCCTGCTTCAGTATGTGCATGATAGAGATAGAAAATGATTACCGTTGCAGGGATGCAAAGACATATTTTGGCTACGAAAATAATTAACGTTAATTATTATTAGTAAAAATTGGTTATTGCACCCCTCTAACCAAGCCCATTGTCCTCGCAGTGGTTACAAATTCAGTGATTATCAGTTCTATCGGTGTGTTGTCCATACTTCATCTTCCTATTGGATGCTGGCCTGGGTAAACACTAAACATAAATATTAACATGGCTTATACATTGTTATACATTGTTATACATTGTTATACATTTTTATACATTGTATACGTTGCTAGATGTATATTGTATAATATTTATATAGAACAAGGGATGTTACACTAATACTACGTCATGTAAGGTAAGTGTTGGAATGGAAAAGTACACACTGAACTGTTCTTTGAGTAGTAAAATCTACAGCACATTTGCCTAGCATTCTAATCGCACGTTTTCTGTCTTTCGTTCCGTAACCTCCAAATGCAAGTGTAAAGTTTATTTCAGTTATAATGTACATTATATTATTATGTCAATAAAATAACAATCGATTTCATCGGTTATGGCGTTCCGCCATTTACAAAAATCTATTTTTTGTACTCAAAGGTAACTGATAAATTTCGATCCCTAGCCGTGTTAGGATAGGGCTAATTTTTATACGCAGTATTTATACACTACCAGGTAACAGGTTCTAATTAAATAACTAACCCGTATTTATGATGTTAGGATGCTGTTAATCCTCTTGTCATTGATAGTGACAACTCAAACTGCGCCCCAGTTCTTTAAAAACTACCACGCTACTGGATTATTTAAAAACTAACCCGTACTTATGATGTTAGGATGCTGTTAATCCTCTTGTCACTGATAGTGACAACTCAAACTGCGCCCCAGTTCTTTAAAAACTACCATGCTACTGGGTTTGTGAGCCTGCCTTACGCTGAGATCAAGGAACCGTTTGAAGCTTGGTTTTCTCAATCTCTCAACAAAAGCAGGATCGGTAAGTTATCGTGTGCACATTAGACAGCAAACATTTCTGTGATTAATTTAATATTGATTATTGATAGAATTGTTATATATTTTACATTAAATTTGACGTTTTAAGTTCAAATAAATCACTCTAATAACTTAATAAGGGCATATAATTGTCCCTAACCACGTGTTCTCCCAATGCTAACCACGTGTTCTCCCAATGCTAACCACGTGTTCTCCCAATGCTAACCACGTGTTCTCCTAATGCTAACCACGTGTTCTCCTAATGCTAACCACGTGTTCTCCTAATGCTAACCACGTGTTCTCCCAATGCTAACCACGTGTTCTCCCAATGCTAACCACGTGTTCTCCCAATGCTAACCACGTGTTCTCCCAATGCTAACCACGTGTTCTCCTAATGCTAACCACGTGTTCTCCTAATGCTAACCACGTGTTCTCCTAATTTGCTAACCACGTGTTCTCCTAATGCTAACCACGTGTTCTCCTAATGCTAACCACGTGTTCTCCCAATGCTAACCACGTGTTCTCCCAATGCTAACCACTTGTTCTCCCAATGCTAACCACGTGTTCTCCCAATGCTAACCACGTGTTCTCCCAATGCTAACCACGTGTTCTCCCAATGCTAACCACGTGTTCTCCTAATGCTAACCACGTGTTCTCCCAATGCTAACCACGTGTTCTCCCAATGCTAACCACGTGTTCTCCCAATGCTAACCACGTGTTCTCCCAATGCTAACCACGTGTTCTCCCAATGCTAACCACGTGTTCTCCCAATGCTAACCACGTGTTCTCCCAATGCTAACCACGTGTTCTCCCAATGCTAACCACTTGTTCTCCCAATGCTAACCACGTGTTCTCCCAATGCTAACCACGTGTTCTCCCAATGCTAACCACGTGTTCTCCCAATGCTAACCACGTGTTCTCCCAATGCTAACCACGTGTTCTCCCAATGCTAACCACGTGTACTCCCAATGCTAACCACGTGTTCTCTCAATGCTAACCACGTGTTCTCCTAATGCTAACCACGTGTTCTCCTAATGCTAACCACGTGTTCTCCTAATGCTAACCACGTGTTCTCCCAATGCTAACCACGTGTTCTCCCAATGCTAACCACGTGTTCTCCCAATGCTAACCACGTGTTCTCCTAATGCAATGCTAACCACGTGTTCTCCTAATGCTAACCACGTGTTCTCCTAATGCTAACCACGTGTTCTCCTAATGCTAACCACGTGTTCTCCTAATGTTAACCACGTGTTCTCCCAATGCTAACCACGTGTTCTCTCAATGCTAACCACGTGTTCTCCCAATGCTAACCACGTGTTCTCCCCTGCAGATGTGTACGATGGTATGGTAAAGAATGTGGTAGATGCAGCCGGTGGAGCTGGCTACAAAGTAGCCCCTATGACTAACGAGAAGATGGCTAACCAACTCACTTGCTTCAAAACTGAATTCGATGCCGGCGACGAAGTTGATATTCAGGTGAGATAATAACGCAAAAAAATATGTCGTTATTTGTTCAGAACGCCACACAAACGAGCAACTGTTTTTGCGGTGCTGTAATCTATAGAAAATGAGGATGTGTGTATAATAGGTCGGTTCAAAAAACCTAAAGTTGCTCCAATCGCTCCCTACCAAAGCTTAATAGTAGATGCCTTGGCTAAAAAACTGCCTTGAAAAATTTCGTGGCTCAACTCCATCGGACTTTAGGTTTTTTGAACCGACCTAGTGTATAAGAAATAAGATGTAGACGGCTGATAAGAGTATCAGTAGTCAATGACTAGACAGGGTTATTGAAAATTACAAAGAATAAAATGGCGTCTGGACTTGGGACCAGCTCATACTCTCATAGTACATTTCATTAATGTATATTTCAGGGAATACTCCCGGACACCAGCCTGTTCTCAAGTGTAGGAACAGAGATGGTTAACGGGTTATCTTGTAACAAATGGGTCTACTTGAACACCCCTAACGGTACTCACCTGACTCAAACCTACACGTTCGTATTTTACTTTGTTACTTGTCTAAATCTACCTTGAAATTAAGAGCGCCCTTTTCGTACCACGTGCGAGTTGAGACTCAGGGGGCTCCACTTTCACGTGATAACACGTGGTAGCACGTGTATATCACACGTGATAACACGTGTATAACACGTGTATATTACACGTGTTATGTAAACGTGTGATACAGAGATATAATTATCAATGTAATATAAGCTGCACTGAGTAGCACAAGTACACACGTACAGTTGCAGTGTACGAGTGATAGTACTGTGAACCCTATTTTATGGTGAAATATTGCCACGTTAAAATAACTGATAAGGCAACAGGTATGAAATATGATATAACATGAGGATTGTACTAAGAAAACTGGTTATTATTTCAAGTTACTTGAGAGTAACGGTACGGCAAAACATGGAGACAAAAATAGTACAGTGATTGAGTTTCGCAAGATCGTATTTAAACCGCTGCTTGCAGTTTAACATCACGTAGGTCACCTTGACGCTACATATTGTGCTTATTATGTTAATGTTATAAATGTTTAAACTAGTCGAGTAGTCGTGATATGAAGAGATTTCTGCGGAAGCGGATTGCGGGCCTTATTTAGTTATTTACCTCCCATATTTTAACCGCTATAATGGTCATCAGCTGGCTTGTCAACCAATTTTAGAGCACATTCGAGTGTGGTACTTAGGTAGGGGTTAGGTTAAGGATATATATTATTAAATCTGAGCTATTTGTACGTGTAACAAAAAAGCGTCATGCTTATTATGATAATGTCACATGTAGCAACTTAAAACTTAAACCATATTTAGTGATTCAAGCTGCTTGCCAAGTTTTTGCTTTTGGATCAGAAATCAATTAATTCCAAATCCAAAAGCGTTTCATTTTATGATATCACCGAACTTTTTAATTATTCAACTCTGACTTGCGGTTTCTCATGTTGTCAAGGTATTCTTCAGAAAGTGAAGTTTTGTTCTAGAAACGAATTTTCAGTGTTGAGTTACAGTAAAATATGATAAACAAAACCTACTCAAGTACTGTAAATGTGACTGTGTAATACACAGTGTGTATTGTGGTCGCCACTCCGCATTTGGAACTCCTAATATACGATATCCTAATCTAATTGCTTATCCTAACCAATCGCATAATATTATTATGTATTCTTAATTCTTATTTATTTACTGTTATTTATTCAGACTGTACGTGTACGGAGATGCGTACCCGATTAAGCTGGTGATGGAGGGTTACAACATCATATCTGGGTCACATGTCGACAAGTATGTTATCGACTACACAACCTACTCTTCGGTTAGTCTAATCTTTAATCTTATCTAATTAAGAGAATCTTTACAAGTTGTAATTTAGTAGACAACACACCCTGTGTAGTGTGTGGGTGTTATTGAGTTTATTAAACACTCACACTCACACTGGGTTACTTTTACAATATCAGATTGATATTTGATAAGCTGCTGTGAATAATCATTCATTAATTTAATCATTCATTAATTTAATCATTCATTAATTTAATCATTCATTTTGACAATGTTTTAAATAATCTAATCATTACCAACCTGAACGTTTCCTAACCTACACGAGTATTAGTTATAAGTTATATATATATAATATTAGTTATAAGTATGATTTAATTTCAGGGAGATGACATACCAGAGGCCCTGTTTTCGGAGCCCTACGCTTCATTGGACTGTGACGGCTACCCTGGACCCGGGCTTGCTGGTGTGTATAACTTACTGTATACGCTTTGAAAATTAATAATACAATTTATTTTTTATTAGTGTTAATAATAAAGTTTATATATTTAAAAAAACATCTGTTAAAACTATCTGTCTCCAGATTGCTCATTGTAAACATTAAACTTTTACAGAATAATATTACATAAGTTTTTGTGGAGATGTCAGAAATGTCCTAATTAAAATGAGCCCGAAAAAAAGCAAGACACACAGTGTCCGTATCACAAGGAAAACCCCAAATAATGCACTATATGCAGTGTCAAAACAGGGCAACAATTGTCTGAACATATTAAAAAGTCCTTAAAGGAAAGTTTCTCTTCCACTCCATCACGTGGCTGCCTAATAACGTCTGGTACCCAGTCTGGTACATCACGTGGCTGCCTAATAACGTCTGGTACCCAGTCTGGTACAAGGATACCCCAGCTTCTTACACTTGCCACACAGTCCCTGGGGGTGTGATACAGTGGGGTTGCACTTGTCCTCCCCTCCTGCTACTTTCTCTAGCGGCTTCTGTTGGTAGGGGTACACCATCACATTGCACTTGTTACACATTTGTCCGTTGTTAGCCCAAGAGTTGCCGCTCTGCCAGCCTCGCTTGCAACTCGGACACTGGAAGTGACCGAATACTCTCCTCTGACCTTGGTATGGAGTCTTACTGCTCTGAAATTAGACGGAATAAGTCGTGTGTTTTTTAATTTCGTGGTATGTAACGAGTCTCTGATGACCATTAAATAAGAGAAAGTATTGCGCGCACAGTATGTACAGAAAATAAATCATTAAATATAAACAGGGTGATCCAGAAGTCGGGTCACAATGAAAAGTAAGCTCGCAATAGGTTATAGGCCATAGAAACATCTTTAATTGTCAGGAGCAAGCAATGTTATAAGAGTATAATATATAAAGAATTAAGAAGGGTAATAGTATATACAAATAGACTCACTGAATCAGACATGGTGTATAACTGGTGGTTACGACTACAAAACAAAAGTAAAACGTACGCTTGAGTGAATTGAAAGAATGAGCAGTGCTGCACTAGCTGCAGTATTTATAGGTGGAGCTGTCCCGTTTGGCTGGCAATGGAGCTGGCAATGGAGCTGTCAGCTGGCTCTGTCAGTTATAACTTATCATGACCTCATCTTCCTTATTTCTGAGATTACTCAGTTGGCTGGCAGAGATGCTGGCTGCTCATCTTGCCAGCCAACATGCCAGCCAACCGGGACAGAGATTAGATCATAACTGCAGATTCTTACGTTTTCATAATCAAATTACCTTGCAGGTATTCATACTGATATATTCGCTGATATTGTGGGAGCTGTTCATGATCATGAGGGGAATTTCAACCATTTCAAGGGAAACCACGGCAAGAAATACAGCAGTAAAGAGGAGCACAGTGATAGATTCGCTGCTTATCGTAACAATATCAGGTATTGTACTAGTTTTAAAATTTAAGTCTTGGTTTCAAATAAGACTCAGTTTTGCAGTAGGTTTAACCTTCCTCGTTCGATCCCTTGTTTAGACAGCCGTTCAGTAAGTGTGTTAGGCATACAACCAACATCCTTCATGTGACATGCAGTGATGTGCAGCAGGTTTGATCGATGAAGCCAAAATGAAGTACGATCCAAGCTTGAGAACTTCGTGTTGGATATTGGTCATGGGTCCTCTTCAAAAAACAGTGCATGAGATAATCCAAGTTCGTTACAGCAATGTATTCTGTATAGTGTTTGTTTCCAATGTACTGATCCTTAGTAACTCGTAAGTACAGAGCCTAGCTGGACTAGGAAGGTGTTTGAGTCGCCATCCATTAATGTAACTTCCTGAAACTCCATTTAAGAATGAGGTCACTGGCCACTGGGCACTGGTGCAATAATTTCATCATAAATTGATCTGTAAGATGCTTTTCTCGGACTCAGGCATAAACACCTGGCTCATATAATAAGTACTGAAATACATTCGCACAAGTCACCGCCTGAACGGAATGAGTAATGACGAAGTCTTTGAAATGCAGTCGTTTGCCACAGATGTCAAAATATCGGTGACACCACAAATATTGCGCAAATGGACGGCGCGAACACAATTTTATGATGCTATATTGTTTGTTCGCACGTGATGTTAACGCGCGCGCCTCGACGTACGTAACCATGCTGGAAAATATTGGCCATCTCATCTTCTCATAGAATTTGAAAGTGCCACCACATTTATTTAATTGCATAAATTCGTTTTATGATAGTAAATTGGCCATCTTAGGCCAGAAATACGGTTTCGAGTATAGTATTTAAATAGGTTAGCAATGGATAGACTAGATATGGTTTAATAATTCTTGAAGAATCACAAAAATTGGCCCAATCTTCTGAAAGACTTATTTGGACACAGAGCAACATAGCACATATTTTGTAATAGAATTCTTTATATATAGATATCTATTGCAAGTTTCATTGTGATATTTTAGACATTAGTTATTATTAGGTGGACCTCGTTATGATCTTTATAAATATGACAGCAATTCTATGATGGAAGATTGTAACGGCCGTTTACCAACCATTTCAACACTTTCCAGATACATTGACTCAAAGAACAGACAAGGACTCTCCTACAAGCTTGGTGAGAATCACATGGCTGATTGGTTCCCTCATGAGCACACCAGGTATAATCCTACTGATTGATCTGTGCTCAAAAGTTATTAGTCATGCCCCCACGATTGGACTGATTGATTCATCACCTTTTTTGTCACCCTGTTTTTAGTTGTAATCTGCGATGCTCTTTAAATTTGGCTTTCAACAGGCTCCGTGGAAAGCTGTATTCGGGTGAACAAAATAACGGAAAACCTTTCTTGAAAGAAGAAATGAAAAACGCAAACCTCCCTGAAAACTATGACCAACGTGTAGAGGGTTTGTACTTTGTTTTACGAATGATTCATTAGTAGCAAAATTCCTTTAAAAAACTCCTTTGACACCACATGGGGACGAGTCTAGTTTAAATTTGGTAAGTGTGACAATCTAACCATGCCCTCAGGTGCCATCGGTCCTGTCAAAGATCAAGCTATCTGTGGTTCATGCTGGTCTTTCGCTACAACGGGTTCTATTGAAGGAGCCTTCTTTAAACGATATGGCTACAGAGTATCTCTTTCTGAACAAAAGTAAGTCAAACACTGAACATTAAAAATTATCGAAATACTCATGCAGGTACGATAATAAACTAAAATTTCACTTTTTAACACATTTCCTCTTCAGTTTAATGGACTGCTCGTGGGGGTAGGGTAACAACTAACACATTTCCTCTTCAGTTTAATGGACTGCTCGTGGGGGTACGGTAACAACTAACACATTTCCTCTTCAGTTTAATGGACTGCTCGTGGGGGTACGGTAACAACTAACACATTTCCTCTTCAGTTTAATGGACTGCTCGTGGGGGTAGGGTAACAACTAACACATTTCCTCTTCAGTTTAATGGACTGCTCGTGGGGGTACGGTAACAACTAACACATTTCCTCTTCAGTTTAATGGACTGCTCGTGGGGGTACGGTAACAACTAACACATTTCCTCTTCAGTTTAATGGACTGCTGGTGGGGGTACGGTAACAACTAACACATTTCCTCTTCAGTTTAATGGACTGCTTGTCGGGGTACGGTAACAACTAACACATTTCCTCTTCAGTTTAATGGACTGCTCGTGGGGGTACGGTAACAACTAACACATTTCCTCTTCAGTTTAGTGGACTGCTCGTGGGGGTAGGGTAACAACTAACACATTTCCTCTTCAGTTTAATGGACTGCTCGTGGGGGTACGGTAACAACTAACACATTACCTCTTCAGTTTAATGGACTGCTCGTGGGGGTACGGTAACAACTAACACATTTCCTCTTCAGTTTAATGGACTGCTCGTGGGGGTACGGTAACAACTAACACATTACCTCTTCAGTTTAATGGACTGCTCGTGGGGGTACGGTAACAACTAACACATTTCCTCTTCAGTTTAATGGACTGCTCGTGGGGGTACGGTAACAACTAACACATTTCCTCTTCAGTTTAATGGACTGCTCGTGGGGGTAGGGTAACAACTAACACATTTCCTCTTCAGTTTAATGGACTGCTCGTGGGGGTACGGTAACAACTAACACATTTTCTGTTCAGTTTAATGGACTGCTCGTGGGGGTACGGTAACAACTAACACATTACCTCTTCAGTTTAATGGACTGCTCGTGGGGGTACGGTAACAACTAACACATTACCTCTTCAGTTTAATGGACTGCTCGTGGGGGTACGGTAACAACTAACACATTTCCTCTTCAGTTTAATGGACTGCTCGTGGGGGTACGGTAACAACTAACACATTACCTCTTCAGTTTAATGGACTGCTCGTGGGGGTACGGTAACAACTAACACATTACCTCTTCAGTTTAATGGACTGCTCGTGGGGGTACGGTAACAACTAACACATTACCTCTTCAGTTTAATGGACTGCTCGTGGGGGTACGGTAACAACTAACACATTTCCTCTTCAGTTTAATGGACTGCTCGTGGGGGTACGGTAACAACTAACACATTACCTCTTCAGTTTAATGGACTGCTCGTGGGGGTACGGTAACAACTAACACATTTCCTCTTCAGTTTAATGGACTGCTCGTGGGGGTACGGTAACAACGCGTGTGACGGAGGGGAGGAGTGGAGAGCGTATGAGTGGATGCTGAAACACGGAGGTATTGCTTATGAGGAGGAATATGGACAGTACCTTATGGCGGTTAGTTGTGATTTAGTTTGATAATTTATTATTCCATAATATGTATTCTGCTATTTCGTCATTTATACATCTGGGTCTCTAGATTTCTAATGGATATGATTAACTGATGTTACAAAATCTAACCTCTCCTCCACAGTTTATACTATGCCTGCGTAGTGCGTCTCTTTTTTAGCTATTGATTACCAGACCGATTAATTAAACATAATCATGGATCACTCATCACAAAGTCACAAATCCTCAAATATTTCATAATGTTTCCAAAATTCTGTTCAATCTTATTACAAATATCGAATGCTGTTTCAAGCAGATAACTATGGAATTGGCTTGATTACTTTGACGGATATGATTACGTGGTTTCCGGCCCACCCAAATAAATAATAACCTCAACGTACAAGTTACAATAGCCCCAACTTCTTTACCTAATACCTACGTCCTACATACCTACCATTATTCCTTTGTGCGATAACCCCATCGTCATCATTCCTTTTTTTAATTTCATCACCAATAAGACTAAATTAGAATGTTTTATGAACTGAAGAACTGACGTAGCAGAAACAGCAGCAGCATGTGCCCCACCCGTAATCTATGCAGTATTTAAACCAGCGCCAATATTGTATTCACTAGATTAGTAACAATATAGTTACTACAGACCACTCCACTCACTACGTCACTCACTACGTCACTCACTACGTCACTCACTACGTCACTAGATTAGTAACAATATAGTTACTACAGACTACTCCAATGATGCTGATGCAAGGTGTTGTGCGTTATGATAAATGTTTGTTACACAAATTACTCCGATCGACATTATCAATAAAACAACTCACGCATGACACAAAGATAGGACCTAAAGCTACATTTAGCTATTATAGTAGCATTTAGTAGCTTGGAATTTGTACTTCTCATTCTTGGCTCAGTTCATTTATTTGTTTGGGAAATTTGGTTGGCTATTCAAAAGATGGTTCTGCAGTTGGTCACTGCAAAGTAGCGCCAATAGTTGTTCAGTGTATTGTTATAGTTCTGCAGTTGGTCACTGCAAAGTAGCGCCAATAGTTGTTCATTATATTGTTATAATAGTAGTGGCTTTCATACTGCAGCTCACTTTCTCTGTATTCGTTACTTTTTCTGTTATCTTTTCAGAATGTCAGCACTTGGCTTTTTAAGTTTTTCAAAACTTTTTATTGGATTTTTGGCTGAATTTGTCCTATGTTACAATGTTACATACCATTCTTTACATACCAATCCATACCTACATACCATTCTCTGCTATGCCACTTTGTCGGAGACAACGGTTGCCATGACAACGGTTGTCTCATGTCCCGCGCTCATCAGATTGTAAACTTGGCTTCGTTTTAATCGTGGTGGCTCTTCAATTGATTTGTTTAGTAAGCGTATTACTGTATTATCTCACGAGCTTTGATGACACCCGTCACCTAGTCCAACATCTTCTTCTTTGAGATTGTAGAGCTGAGACGTTAATTTGCAAGATAACACTTGATTTGTTATTTAACCTACCACGTGACATACAGATCATTTGCGGTGTCGCCATTCATAATGAAGTACCATATTATGTTAGATTTTTAACAAGTTACCTTATCTTTAACATACTTGTGTGATTTGAATTTTATTAATTTATATATGAGTATGGCAAATTACTTTTTAAATAATCTCGCCTAGACATTAATTAATTAATATCATACCATCTAGAATACGCATGATAACCACTTCTCCAAGGGTAGTCTTGTCGGGTTTTGTTTCGTTTTGTGTTAGGGATTGTTTAGTTTTGTGCGTTGTCCAGGTTGTTCATTACGATACCATCTGTTGTTATACCATATTATACTACTTTAAAACTAACTTATAAAATTAATATAGATCCCAGCGCCATGTTGAATAGTTCCGAATCAGCTGCTGAGATTCCTAGCTGGGGACCTGACTGGGATAACTACTACACGGAGGAGCTTGGAATCCGGACAACGGACCAGTTTCTTGGCTGGGTCTTCATTCTAGGAACTATAGTGGGTCTCCTGGGGAACGGTTCTGCAGTCTGGTACTTCTGGCCCAAGAGAAACCAGTCTGTTCACAACATGCTGTACCTAGCCATAATCACTGTTGATTTCCTGACTGTTTCATCAAGTTTTCCTGTGATAGCATCTCTGCTTAATGATCGGTATCCGATGATCTTCAACAAGGATGTCTTCTGCTCCGCCTGGACCTTGGTCTCCTCCTTTACCGCAAAGATGTCCATTTTCCTGGCAGCCATGATCTGTGTGACCCGCACTATTGCCATGAGATGTCCCTACCTAACGTTGAAACGTACATCCGTCATCAGTGCCATTGCTGGATATGCTTTCCTTTTAATAGCACTTGATTTGACGTACATCTCTTTCGAATGGGAGCACGGCCAATATGTCAATAGCACATGTTTATGTTCAGCCAAGTTCTACGAAACCGCCCCGATCGTTGTACAGTATACTGCCACTGTGTCGTTAATACTGCAGCTCACCATGCCTTCCTTCATTACTTTCTTCTGCTTTGTTGCCAGCACTTGGTTTTTAATGACTCGCGCTACTTTACTTAATGTCGACGAACGGAAGTTTCGCCGGGTGTCAGTCACAATTACCATATTCACTGTTATTTTTCTGATTTGTAATATTCCTTGCTTCGTCTACCAGATGTTTTCGTTTCTCTCTTGGGATTTTCCTGAGTTATTGAACGTTTTTGACCTTCGATACTTCAACTATTATGGCCCACTCTTGCTGCAGTTCTTCCCCATATTTCTGAACTCTGCGATAAACCCGTTTGTGTACCTGTTAAGAATGAGTGGATACCAGAACTGGATCAGAAAATGTTTCAGAATGTGTTTCTCTGCAAAAGTGGCTGTAGATGGGTGAAAACCTTAGATAGTGGTTCTAGAATGAATATTTTACTTTAGGAAAGAAGGCTGAACATTTACAAGTTTAGTTTTAGACAACGATTCAATGGCTAAAAGGAGAAAAGGTTATGAACTGAAATGTTGAGTTTGTCATTTGTACTTGAACAATTTAACGTATTTCTAATCAGTGTTTTCTGAAAGGTACTTTCTTCATTAGAAATAGTGTTTTTAACGAAGTGTTAATTCTCTAATTTTTGTATAATTTTTTATAATATTGTGAAGCTAATTTCGATTTGTCACTAGACTATAACCTTATAGCTATACACCTAAAAAATTGCCCCTTGATATGGTGCTTTCCATTTCTGAGAAATAGCTCATTTTCATCAACAAAGTTTCCATTTTTAAATGATTAGTAATCGTCACAATAATGTTTAACTCTCATCTCCTCTCTTGTATTTCCCAAAGTAGGAGTAAGTAAACGATCACACCCACACTGTAACACTGTTTATCATACTTGATAATACTAAACATCTGCCCTGCACAGGACACACTGTAACACTGTTTCTCATACTTGATAACACTAAACATCTGCCCTGCACAGGACGGATACTGTCACTACGAGAAGACAGAGAAGCGTGTCAAGATATCTAGCTACACAAACGTAACCGGAGAGGAGCACCTCCAGCTAGCTCTCTTCAACAAGGGAGCTGTGGCTGTCAACATTGACGCTAGTCACAAGTCACTCAGTTTCTATGAGAGTGGGGTTTACTACGAGGAGGCTTGCAGTGAGTTTCGGTTTTGCTTTTGCTCTAACTTGCAGTAGCGCGCGACCGAAACAACGCTTGTGAAACAAGCGCGTCACGCAGTACGCGTATACACATGGCTATTATATACATATATGTGAAGTTTTGCTTCAGAGTGCTATTTATAGTTAAATCTCATGTAATGCTGGACAATTAGTGGTGCACAATATTGACTGCAAATATCTGCAACAATCCTGATTTAAATATGACATGCTATTAAATATATATGTAAATATTAAATGCTATTTTAATCACCTACTTCCCCTCAGAGAACGGCCCAGAAGATCTGGATCACGCGGTGCTAGCTGTTGGGTGGGGTACTCTTGGTGGACAACAATATTGGATTGTGAAGAACAGCTGGTCAACCCACTGGGGAAATGTGGGCTATGTTCTGATGAGCAGAAAGGATAACAACTGTGGTGTTTCTACTGATGCAACGTACGTACAAATTGAGTAAATATACAGTTGTTTCCTGGGAACAGCTGAAAACTATTGGTGTTGGACAGTTTTGAGTTTATTCTTTTTCGATAGTGATCAGCTGATGAGGCTGTTGATGATTTTGTTTCCTTCACTTCTTTGCTTTTATTCGGGCTATAACACTTAACAGTGACCTCTAAGGCATGTGATTGTGATCTTCAGATAATTCATGTTACAATTTTTGATTGGACGTGATAAGGGCGTTATACATTTTTATAGTAATTGTTGTTTTGTAACCGATCGGGTTTTTTAGATTGAGAGAGCTTTCAATTTGTAATGACAGACATTTTTAAAGGTTCGGAAAGCACCATGCTTCACCGTCAGTCTTTGTTTTTTTCACATTTTTTACTGTTTTTCATTTTATTATGATAATTCTGTTTTTGGTATTTTGTATGACTGGAATTTTATAGGGTTGAGGATTTGGTGATGATTTTTACTACATTAATCCATGATCGTGGAATTCGGTAACTTTTTTACAATTTATACGTGTTTATGCTGTTTTGAAACATTAAAATCTTTGAAACTGTAGTTTCCAATTCTATTGTTGATCCAGTGCGCACTTGCAAAACCTTCACTTTGAAAAACCATAAGCTGTTGCCAATAAAGTCAAATCTACATTTGCAAATATCATAAAAAAAGTAAAAAAGTAAAGAATTTCAGCTACAGGAAAGGGGCTTCCTAGATATAGCAGTGAAAAAAACTCAATATCAGTCTTACTTATACTTTACTATATGGGCCATAGCATTTATAATCCAACAGATTCTAAATCTATAATTGTGCAAAAAAGAAAAATTCATCGTTGATAATAATAATCATCAATATCGCCAGCACGCTATGTATACATAGTATAGGGATAGTATAATAGTACATAAGTGGTATACAAAACGAGTCGAGCATTCTTTAATATAAATAAACTCGTCTCAAACGACTCTTAATTAAACGAACTCATTTTGTCTTAAAAGTTAAAACGACTTTCTTTCAAAAACCATCTTAAATGTTTTAGTATAGGTTCTCAGAAAATTTGAGAATACCTGGCTGAAGAAAACAAAAATATCACTTAGTCGTAAGCTCAGAATATACGAAGCTCAAGTCCTAGTCGTGCCCATCATCAATTCATCATGTATAATTGCAACTCCTGGGCTGCCCCTACCAAATTCCAGACTGACGTAAATCTTAAAGGTAGGCTTGTTGGTAAACCTAGTCTAAATTTACTTGACATGATAAGAAATTACCTAAAACGAAAGAAAATTTTAAATTCTCTACGTCCAATTTCAGATTTTGAAGATTTGAGAGCCATTGCTCTTAATAGAGTTACATGGAAGATTGGAAGTTTTTTGAGAAAATTTAGTTTTATCTTTTGAATTTGGACCTTTTTATGTTTTGAGACAGCTACCAATAATGTTCTTAGGATTGCTGTTTTCAGATATTTTGAACTTTGATATGGATTACAATAAATAATAAAATCAAAACAGTTAACAGCTCCTGGTAGTCTTGTTATCAGTTATGATTCAAAACAACTCGTCCTCTAAATCAAACACTCAAATGTTCATAAACATGGTGTGTAACCACTACTACTCTTAAGCATTAAGTGTTCCTTCCACAGACAGTGCACCGACTGATTCCCTTCTCCATCACCTCATCCTTACCCTTGTAAATATTCCCCAGAGCTTTGTAATAACCTGGCCGGACAGCCACTGTGCTGTTGTTGTCTATAGCCAGCCAGTAGTCAATGTGGGTGATGGAGTAGTAACAATATCCGGCACCCAGGCACTCCAGGAAGGTAGGGTTGTGGAAGAACTCTAGACAGGAGCCCGAGGAGGAGAGTGATGTCCCGCCCCCGGAGCTAGAGGTTGAGATCTGAGGGTGGGTACGTGGATTAAAGCAGGGAAATTATTTGGAATATTTGTTTACTATACTTAATGTTATTTAATCAATATCATTCAAGGTTACAGAACTTACAATTCCAACGAATTTGTAGATTATTAATAGAGTTAATTTGACGGAAATTTTGCAAGAATTCAAAATGTGGCTACACTTTGTCTTTGACATAATAAATAGATTCCAATGACACTTTACTGGGCGGCGCTCAGCCTGCCTTTCCGCTATATCTTGATCGCAAAAGCGTGAGGTCCCCAGGTTATAACAGTTAGACTTAGAGTTCATGAATTACATGATATCAGTATTGATAATAAGAAGCGAAAATGCGATTAGGACCACTTAGACTACGTTAAATCTGTCTCTATCTGCAACGGCTTCAATAATAAGTGCAATTACTTTGGGATCTCAGGGCTCAGGCTTTGCCTTTTATGTTCATAAACACGAAAGATATGCCGTAGAAAGCAGCCCCCTACAGAGCGTTAGATTAACCCTAAAATTCAAGAAAAAACAAGTATCACGAGATCAAGTCGCTGTGATGTCCTGGAACATCCAGGACAGCACAGGAGACGGGTCTAACAAATTTGAAAATAGCGAATTTTTGTCAATCCTCAAACAAGCTAACATTCTTTGTCTTCAAGAAACAAAGAAGCAAGTTAAGATTGAAGGATACCTCTCTTTTAATAGCAACCGCAAAAATTCACGCTCAGGAGGGGTCTGCATTCTTGCTGAAAATGACCTAAGAAAAGGTGTCTCTAGTGTGCTTTGTAATGAATCTGATGACATTATGTTGTTAAACTGGACAAGAACTTTTTTAAACTTGATTTTGACCTATTTTTGGTATGTTATTATATTAGCCCTGCATACTCGTCCTATGTCAAGAAGAATCCAGATTATACTGCTAATACCTTCTCTGCTCTTGACTCTATCTGTATCAGACTACGTCAAAAGGGAGAAGTTATTATGTGTGGCGATGCAAATGCAAGAACTGGAAAACTCCCAGACTATATCCTTTCCTGTAATGCACCTGCCATCCATGACATCTATAACGACATTGGACTCGAGCACGACATAGAAGAACCAAGAAACAATTCTGACCTTACAATATCTGAACCCCACTGCCAACACTTCCTTGACATGGTTATCAATAACCAACTCAAAATTCTTAATGGTCGTACCCTTGGGGACACCACTGGAAAAATGACCTGTCACAAATACAATGGAAGCAGTGTGGTTGACTATTTTGTAATCACCTCATGGGCAAGAGATCATGTAAACTCTCTCCAAGTAAAAGAGTTTACATCATACTCTGATCATTGTCCATTAGTCTTGAAACTCACTACATTTGAACCATTTGTCGCAAACTTCCAGCTCCCAGACTTTTCTAACTTTCCTTGTGGCTATAAGTGGGACAGCAACACCTCCCATTCACTATTTAAAAAAGCCCTTACCTCACCCGAAATTATCAACAATCTGGAAAGCATTGTGACAAATGAATTTAGCAGTACTCTGGAGGGCAATCACGAACTGAACGATGCAGTCATAAAATGTCTCCACAGTGCTGCTGATATAGCCTTAAAAGTGAAAAAGCCTCCCAAAAATTCTGCCCGTAAAAAATGGTTTGACCCACAAGTCAACTCCTCGCGGCGGAACCTTAATAGGCTAGCAAATCGGCTTGGTAGTAAGCACTGTAACAGTATCCTCAGACTAGAATATTTTAAGCAACGCAACAAGCATAGCAATTTTGTAAACAGTAAGAAAGTAGCTTTTCTTAAGAAGTTAAATGAAGCTATAGAAGAAGGTCACATACTCGACTGGAAAAAATTTAAACGGCTTAAACAAGAACATGACACTAGCCCCTTACTCGACAAATTTGATTTAGCTAGCTTCCATGACTTCTTTGCATCCCTTTATAAAAAACCAGACCAGGAGCCAGATCTCACTCACCACAATCACAAACATTACCCTGAACCACCAGATCTGGATATCCTAAATAAGCTCATGTCAGAATCTGAAGTGACCTCTGCCATCAAAAATCTCAAAAAAGGTAAAAGTTGCTCAAACGACTTGATATCCAACGAGATGCTTCAGAGCGTAATTCCGCTTTGTCTCAAAGCCATCCTGAAAAACTTCAACCACTCACTGGTCTCCGGTTACTATCCATGGCACACCAGCATCATTACTCCTATTTACAAGTCTGGCAACCCTTTCAGCCCGGACAACTACAGAGCAATAGCTGTTGGTAGCTGTATGGGTAAACTGTTTTCTAGCATCTTACTTGAGCGTCTCCTGCACTTCAAAAAGCTCTACTGCCCTGACCCAAAAGAACAACTAGGGTTCTCGAAGGGTGCTCAAACAAATGACCACGTTTTTACCCTTAAGACAGTCATTGACAAATATACCAAGGTTAAGAAAGCTCGTCTCTATGCATGCTTTGTTGATCTAAGAAAGGCCTTTGATACTGTATGTAGGGACCTCCTTCTGCACAAAATCACATGCCTTGGAATAACTGGAAACTTCTTCAATTGTTTGTTTGTTTGTTTTTGTTTGTTTGGGGACTGGTTTGTAAGCCAGCCAATGTTTACGAATATAATATTAATAACTTTATTACATAATCATAAATATATATCATAAATAGATCAAATTTGAAACACAAATTTGCACGCAGTTAATAAATTTATTAAAAAAAAAGAAAATGAAAAAAAATGTTTATTGCTAAAACAAAATATGGAGCACTCTGTGCTTCCAACAGCCCTTCAGACTCGCGCTAAGTTTGTTAGGGACTGATTTAGGATATCGTAGATATTGCTATGCCATGCCATTAGTTTGGATATGTAGTGTTTGTGATTGTTGAAATCAATTAATTACGGTTTGTGCTGATAGGAAAATAGTGATAGTGGGGAATGTGGCAGTGTAAATATGGACCCGGAATTTAGGATGTGTGGCTTATCCATTAATATTAGTTGCCGCTAGTCTGTGATCAGTTTGTTCTGGTTTTTTTGTGTGCAAATATATATTCATAGTTTATTTTTGTAATATCATATAATATATAGTACTTAATAATAACCATATGACTAATAACTGATTTACTAATTAACTAATTAACTAATTCACTAAACTGATATAATGACCGTTGTGTCCAGTAACTTTCAGACACGTTGTGACCTTCTTAGACCTGGAATATTATGTAATAAGAAACTGGGCCACGTGTCATCGTCATTTTCACTCTGCAGGTTCAAGAGCATGCGTTTTGTAGCCGATTTAAAAAGGTTTATGGAAAAAAGTGTGGGTAGGGTGCTTACATTTGCATTTACAGCATAAATTGAGAGTAAAGGTCCTTTGAAGAACATCGAAGATCTGAAATGTGTGGTGTTGTACTCGGCTAACCAGGATGCTGCAGTCACGTGATCTGAGTTTGCAGTGGGTGCATTTTCTGGGATAGTCATACAGATTTGTTGAGGGACTGAGCTGCGGAAATGTTTGATTCGGTGCATGAGAATTAGTGTGTTTTTTACAATAACACTGTGCACCGTGAGTATACCATTGTTATTGAAAAATTGTTTTGTGTGTTCTGGCAGTCGACCGTCTTTGTAAAAGTAATTAATGTGACCTGGCATTACTGCCCTGATACCCTGTTTTTGTCGTGAGAAGAGTGATTCAATGTGATTTTTTGCTGCAAACCCCCATACAATTGAACAGAAGTTTAAATACGATTGAACAAAACTTTGATATATCTGTAGCCTTATTTGAATCGATAGGTGACGTTTTATTTTATACATAATTCCTACATACCGCATCATTTTTGATCTAACAGCTGCTATATGCTTAGACCATGTTAGTTTATCATCCATTATAACGCCAAGGAACCGTGCTTCCCTTTTACGTTCTAATTGTGTGTCTGCAATATGAATATTTGGAGTATTATCAGTATTTCTAACACCGAAAAGCATATAGCAGGTCTTTTTTAGATTAAGTGCAAGTCCATTACAGTCAACCCAGCGTACAAACTCGTGGGAGAATTGGTTGAATTTTTGTATAACATCGTTTGCATTTTTGCCTTTTATTATGATGTTCGCATCATCAGCGTAGAGTATAAACTTTATCATACTGTTGATATTTGGCATATCATTGATGTAGATTAGGAATAACAAAGGTCCCATAATACTGCCCTGTGGAACTCCGTATGTAATAGGTTTAAGAGCTGATTTAATACCATTCAAACATACATATTGCTGACGTGTGCTCAGGTAGGATTTAAACCATTGCAAAGCTTGCCCACGGATTCCATAGTGCTGGAGTTTGTCAATCAATACATCATGAGACAAAACGTCAAAAGCTTTACTAAAGTCGACTAGGAGTAATAGAGCAACTTCCTTTTTGGCAAGGGAATTCAGAATCGTGTGTTGAGCATCCAAAAGAGCATGCTCACAGGATCGGCCTGGCCGGAAGCCATATTGCCCTTCAAAGAGCGAGCCTTTCTTGTCAAGGAAGTCCATTACTCTATTATGCATAAGTTTTTCATACAATTTGGAAAAGGTGCACAGCAAAGATATGGGTCGATAGTTAGTGGCGTCGGATTTGCTGCCTCCTTTGTGAATTGGTATAACTTTAGCTATTTTGAGAGATGATGGGAAGATACCTTGACTAAATGATGTGTTAATGATTATGGACAAGACTTTACAGAAACAATCCTATGAAACATTCATTTTGGGAGGCCAGCCCATCCAACACATCGAAAAATACTGCTATCTTGGCATTATATTCCACAGAAATGGATCTTTTACAGCAGCAAATACTGAACTGAGGGCCAAGGCTCTCCGTGCTCTCTATGGCCTCAAAGGCAATATCGTCAAAGATGCCCTCTCTCACCGTTCTCTAAACATTCTATTTGACTCTCTAATAAAACCGATACTACTCTATGGCTGCCAAATCTTATGTCCTCACTCAAAAACCATGAGATACCTCTCCAAAACAGATAGCAAAGCCAACCCCCAGCATACTCTCAGGTACATCTCACAAGACCACTATGAAAGATTCCACCTTAAGTTTATCAAGTGGTCCTTGTCTGTCCATTCAAAAGCATCAAATATAGGCTGCTGGGGCGAAAGTGGGCGCCACCCCCTCTTCTTTGAAGCCTGCAAACTGGCAATAGATTTCTATACTCGCCTTGAAAGCACTGAAAATGAACTTCTCTCCGCTGCATTTCACGAGCAGATTATGCTGGGCCTTCCTTGGTACACCAACATCTCTAATCTTCTCACCAAATATAACTTCCCCCACTCATCCTCTTCAAAATCCAAGCTCTCTACCCAAATCAGTCACAACATGAGGGAAGAATTTGTGGATACCTGGAAATCTGCCAAGGCATCCTCACCTAAATTAGAATTTTACAATCAAATTAAACATGATTTTGAACCAGAAACATACTTAGGAGTGGTTAAGATCCCCGATGCTCGGAAAAGCTTAACAAGGTTTCGTATTAGCTGCCACAATCTTTACATTGAGAGGGGCCGTTACGAAACCCCCCTAGTACCAAGAGAACATCGATGGTGCACTTTTTGCTTTTTCAGCAAGGGGCTTAAGCCTATTGAGGACGAAATTCATGTTCTAACTGACTGTTTACTCTACTCCTCAGTTAGAGAAAAATTTAACTTCCATCCCAAAAATATTACTGACCTAGCCGGTTTGCTATCCGATAAAACACTAGACCCTACAAAATTTACTGCCACAGCAAGAGCAATCCATTCAATTCTCTCTGTGAACGAAAATTTTACAGCCTACTATAAGAGCCCAGATTTCCACTCAAATACTGGCCAATGCATAATGCTATAGGACCTCAAAAATAGTATTATATTAAACATTTCTATTTTATCCCTACACATCTGTAAATAACTAGAATTGTGTAACCTTAAATTATTTCAGAATTATAACTATTGTGAATTCAATAAAATAATTATCACTTTTGTATCCTTGTATCCTTGTATCCTTGTATCCTATGGCGAAATGACAGACTGTCACTGAGTGCCGCCCGGCGCCCAGTAATATTAATAAGTGTAATACTAATAGATTTGTAGTGTTTTAATATACCGATGGCGATATATTATCAGTATATTTTAAAATCAGAGCTTGTAAATTCAAATGTGAATTTTATTACCCAGTGAACCATTACCACTTGAAAAGAGAAAAATAATGAAAACTAACCATGAGATGCGAATATCCAGTCCACAGAGCTGAAAAGTGTTTAGGACAATCCGGAGCAGTGTCCTTGAAAGAGTGCCTGGTGAGAGTGAACCTCTGTCCGAGGCACACACGACATCTCCCAATATGGTTCTTAATGTCCTCAATATCTGTCATGCGAGGCTGGGAAAAGTGACCGTCAGGGTCTACAGACAGCCAGTAGGATTTGTCAGCAGGACTCTTGGAACCGTACAAGCACTCGTCTTCCCCGCAGTCGGAGTAGATCTGTAGGAATGGCAGGATTTGGAAGTCTTCTAAACACGTCCCTGTGGAGTTGTTTTTTTGTTTTTTAAAGAGGCTGGACCTAGGATAGCATGAGAATGCTTTGCCTGCCTCTAGAGTATGGCAACCCTGAAGAAGGTTGCCGGGGTTATCTATGTGGAGATGATGAATTGATGAAGTGATGATGAAGTGAAATGAAGGAGAATGAGTAGACGCTATTATGTAGCATCGATATATCTCGCAGTTTAATTAATTAATTTATTTATTAATTGGCAACTTATCACAAAAGCTACAGCTTCAGACCTACCGCTCTCTCCGATATCTTCAGCTAAAGCCTTGCCATTCCCTTCAAACATCACAAGAGAGTATCCAATCCAAAGAGATTTGTAACCACTAGGACATTCAGGGACCTAGAAGTAAATTTACGGTATTCCTCAATCAGAATTGGAGAAAAAATGACTGAGCCAAGAAGTTTGGGTCAAATATGAGTCAAGTATTGGAAATAGGATACGGAGTAGGAGAAACTCGATTTTCCGAGACATTAGAATTTCTTACAGTAACAGAATGAGAATGTCTGACGATGGGGTGGTTGTATTCGTACTCATGAGGCTTGCAGGTCCCCTGCTTTCCCCTTGCTCCTTTAGATCCTTTAACTCCTCCTCGTCCCTTCCGTCCCGGGATACCGGTTAGACCCCTTTTTCGACTGTGCATACCTTTCGTACCTTTATTTGATCATGTTAAAAGCGAACTGTGTCTGAGATTACATAATTTCAACAGATAACCCTAAATCTTTCAACTTTATTTACCTCTGCGTCCTTTGTTGCCAGTATTACCAGGACTTCCTGAGGATCCTTTAGCTCCAGTGAGGCCCCAAGCTCCATCCCTCCCAGGTAACCCATCAGCTCCAGTGAGACCCGTAGCTCCATCCCTCCCAGGTATTGGTAACCCATCAGCTCCACCATCAGTCACATCAGCACCAGATGAACCATTACTCCCAGGGTGACCGGGTGAACCTGGTGCACCTTTTATTCCATGTGGTCCAGCATGTCCCTGTAATATACGGGTTAAAATTAGATATCAGTATCTGCTCTGGTTACTGATCTCCAGGACAATAATAACACGGTAGAGGATCTCAGAGCTGTAGCAGAAAGAATAATTAAATATTTTCAGTTTTCACTAACTTCCTCTCCAGGCGACCCTTTCTCTGCGAGTCTGGTATAGTTCAAAACTTCGCTAATAAGGTTAACCCAGACAATAAACTCTTTTGTCTGTTCACCACTCTCGGGGTCAACGACAACAAGAATATTCCCATCTTCACCGAACTCTCCAGAACCACCTTTCGACCCTTCATGTCCGGGTGTTCCCTACGAATATGTAATTAATTATATTTATTTGGCTGTATAACTCCTTGAATAGTACTCAGGATATTACCAAGGATTTCAACTTACGGGGTCTCCTTTTTCTCCATCCACTCCAGGTCCACCTTTTGCTCCCTGATCCCCCGGTATACCTTGATCTCCTTGTTTTCCAACAACTCCTGATAATCCTTTAAACCCCTTGGTTCCAGTTGATCCGAGGTCTCCTTGTGCTCCAGTGTTCCCTTGGTCTCCAGGAGCTCCCTTCTCACCTCCTCCTCCACGGTCTCCTTTTTTTCCTTTTACTCCGTCTTTCCCATCAGCACCGGGATAACCTGAAATAAATTGCACGTAATACCATTACCAATATGTTGCAAGTCCTTTTTACGAGGAAGCTAACAACTTAAGGTGCATATATTGAGGCCAGCGCTCGAATTGTGCAGGTAGTTTCACGATATCCCCAGTATAACATAAGCAGCAGTTACCTGGTGTTCCAATTCCAGAAGGTCCTTTCTCTCCAGCATGTCCATTATCCCCGGGCTCACCAGGTTTTCCAGCTGATCCATAGTCTCCGTGATGCCCTAACTTCCCCGTCTTTCCGGCTGCACCTTCCATCCCTGGATCTCCTTTTGCTCCTTTATATCCAGGATCCCCAACAGGACGTTTGTCTCCTGTGGCGCCTATTGCTCCTTGATCTCCTTTGAATCCCTTTTTGCCATCAATACCTTGTTCACCCTGATGAAAGATACAGGCCAATTATTGGAGAAGCTTGCTATATGAACGGAATTGACGATGAACGGAATTTAGGATGACTTTTATTTAGAATACCATAATTAACGTTAAAACAGTTCAATAAACTGACCGGTTCCCCATTACAGGCTGTTTCTCCGGCAGGAATACCTGGTTCACCGTCAACGCCGTTTTGACCGTTTTCCCCTTGATATCCCTGACTGCCCTGCTCACCTGAAACAAGGACAATTTAACTCAAAATATGCAAATTTGTAAGGACACATCTTCGAGAAATCCTTTCATATGCAATAAGAGTTAAATGAAAGTTAGGTAAAATTGGGAATTGAAAAATAGGAATACTGTATAGGAATAGAATTGAGGAAGAGAAATAGGAAAAACTCAGATCCTAAAACTAAACAAAAAATTTGAAATCATTAATGATCAAATTTCAAAACTAACCAGGGATTCCAATTGAACCTAGCACTCCTTTAGTACCATGTCCACCCTTTTTACCATTTCCACCTCCTTCTCCTTGATCACCCACCTCACCCTTAGCACCATCATTTCCACCATTACCAGGTTCTCCTTTAGATCCCTCTCCTCCTCGCTCTCCCTCCTCACCTACATCTCCCTTCACCCCGTCCTTTCCCTCCTTCCCCACCTCTCCTTGGGCTCCTGCTGCTCCTTTAGGTCCGGAGTCTCCTGTTATTCCCAAAAACCCTTCTGTCCCTACTTCTCCCTTAGCTCCAGCTTCTCCCTGAGTTATTGACATCATCTATCTGATCATGAGAACATTGTTTAACATACAACCCTTCCAATGATTTAGGAAACACAAACAGAACTCCCTACCACTTCCGCATGGCACTAACACCATATGGCAGATTTATTGGATAAATTTATTAAATTAATCCCTACCTGTTTACCCTCGACTCCTGGTGCTCCTTTGTTACCTTGAGATGGGAGACCGGCCACACCTCCATCACCTGTTTCTCCTTGCTCGCCAGTATCACCCTGGTTACCATCCTCACCCTTAGATCCCGTAAATCCAGCTGCTCCTCGCACTCCGTCATTGCCCTTTTCTCCAGGCGGACCTTCGTTTCCTTGTTTACCTATCGTTATTCATAAAGTTGGTTTCTGTTTCCAGACTCATTATATTTTTGGTCCAGAGACCTAATACCAATACAATTAAATATTAGAAAAGTGTTGACTCCAACACCTTTATCTAAGAACACTATAACTGAATTATGACATAATGTAAGGATTGCTAATTCTTCAGAGTTCAAAGTTGAGTGATCAACACTAATGATACAGGAGCAACTACAGGATACGTGAACGAAACATTAAATCTCACCCTTTCTCCCAATATGTCCATGTGAACCAGGGTTTCCTTGCTCTCCGATGGAGCCTTTATTTCCGTTTGCTCCTCGATATCCGTGAATCCCATGAGGTCCTTGAGGACCTTCACGTCCTGGATCCCCTGTAACATCCTTTACTCCGTTAGTTCCATCTCTTCCTGAGACGGCAGCACTTTTAATAGTTTGATATCTCTTCTCGCACTTCAACGTTACGCAAAGTGCCAGACAGGAAAGTATTTTCATTCGAAATATGCACATTTTTTGTATTTGGTTACAAAATATAACTCACCATGGTGTCCTTGTGTACCCTGGAATCCCAGCCGGCCCTTGTTACCCTCAGGACCTTTCTCACCCGGTAATCCCTGAGATCCAGGATTTCCATTGAATCCAGGATCTCCTTTTGTCCCCGTGTCACCAGGAGCACCATGTAATCCCCGAGCACCACGTAGTCCTTTGTCTCCAATATCTCCGGGAATGCCCTTTTCTCCGTCGTCTCCTCTATGCCCAGGATAACCGGGGTCGCCCTTGTCTCCTTGCTCTCCCTAAACATGGTAACAAGAAATGTATAACTTAGTGTCATGATTACCACGTTCAGTCACTAACTTTAAGGTAACAATTTATCAAATTTTCAGCAATTTCAATCAATCATAGAAGCAATGACAAATATTTACAGTATTTCCATTTGCTCCTATTATGCTCTCTCCAGGATATCCTTTCAATCCTTGGTTTCCTTGAGACCCCTGCGATCCCTCAGGTCCTGGGGGCCCTACTTCACCTTGGGCTCCTTGTCCTCCTAGCACTCCATTTATACCGTTTATTCCGGATTTTCCAGGTACTCCCGGGTAACCTGACAAAATTAATAATCAGTGGCACTACAGACGTGTTTCAAAAGTCTTGCAAGGATGTACTTTTTGAACCTTTTGTCGCATTTGTACATATGTATAGATATTAGATAGAAGTATAATATTTAAACAGTGTTATTGAGCATAAGGTATGCTATGATATAGGTATATATATCATCATGTATTTATCCGGCCATGGAACATATAATGTAAGTGTTTAGGTTTTACCAATCCACTACAAATCCGATCCCAACAAAGGTTGCTTACCCTCTTGTCCAAAATCTCCAGGAAATCCAAAATTTCCTCGCCGGCCAATTTCTCCAGGGTCTCCACTTATCCCAGGCTCCCCGATTTCTCCATCGTATCCTTGATCTCCAATAGAACCTTTAAAACCCAGTTCTCCTGGTTTGCCGTCTTGCCCAGAAGTCCCGTTTTTACCTCGAAAACCCTTATCTCCATTCCTGCCATCCTGCCCGGAGTTCCCTTGTTCTCCCTTATCGCCTAGAGTACCTTTGTCTCCTTGCTCTCCCTGTTCTCCTTGTTCCCCAGTGACTCCTTGAGACCCCTTTGCACCTTCACTTCCAGGTAAACCACTAGCACCAGATTCTCCGGGAATTCCCTGTGGTCCCTGAGCTCCTCGGATACCCTGGTCTCCCTTCTCACCAGTCTCACCAGTTTCACCATCTGCTCCATCATAACCGCTCTGACCGTTGACACCTGGATAACCAGCATCTCCCTTAGGTCCCTCATCACCAGTTTCTCCCTGATTTCCTGGTCCTCCCTTAGCTCCCTGTACTCCTTTGTTACCGCCTCCTCCTGACTCACCAGAATCACCCTCAGGCCCTGGCTCACCACTAATTCCATGGACACCTTTGTTTCCAGCTAGACCAGGGCTACCAATGTTTCCTTTTAAACCCGTCTGTCCTTTGGGTCCAGTGGAACCGTCTTCACCAGATTCTCCATTGGCTCTAGGGATACCCTTGAATCCTTTTGGACCATCATTTCCGTCAATTCCACTTTTACCCTTTGCTCCATCTTTACCACTTACTCCCTTTTCTCCAAACACTCCCTGGTTTCCAATCGTGCCAGTATTTCCTGGATCACCTGACAAGAATATAACATAAAACTTGCACCGTGCACTTATATTCTAAAAGAGCAAACAAAGTTTAATTTCAACTGGAGAAAATTGCTATCCTGAAATCGACGTATTACAAGCGGCTGTTCTCATCTGAAACTATGCTTGGTGTAGCTCGTTGGGATAGTATAGGAATTTTAGTTCCTATAGTTGGGAATGAGATAGTTGTCTGTTCACAGATCGCCCTCTAAACTTACAAGGAAATATTTCCTGTAGATCCTTGTTATATAAGCAACATTTGACTGAGCATAGTGTGGAGTGAGCTATGTGCCCATCCTTGGAGAACCCGGTGGATGTCCTTGCTGTACGGCAGTGTTAAACAAGGAACTGAAACCGAGGGGTTCCGTTCAGGCCCTTCACACTTTGTTTCTGTCTAGTTCTAATGTACCGTCACAATAGTGACTTTAAATATATAATGCCCATTACTCACCTTCTGAACCAGGTTCTCCCTTATGACCCTTATCTCCAGAAGGTCCCTGATGTCCCTTATCTCCACTAGCACCAGGAGTGCCGCGCTTGCCTGGTGCAGCAACATCTCCAGGTTCACCAACATCTCCACCTTCTCCTTTCTTTCCCATGACTCCAGGGTGACCGTCTTTGCCGTTAGCTCCAACACGGCCATTTTCTCCAGATCCTCCAAGAGCTCCTGTGGCACCTTCTTTGCCTGAATGGAAAAGGTATTCGTGATGTTTCATTTGGACAAGTAATGAGATATCAAAATAAAACACAAAATTTAGATTTCCTCTCGTACAATTTGAATAAATTTTAACAGTCATAAAGTTTATCTGGAATTATTGGTTCGTAATATAATATCTAATAAACCTTTTTGTCCTTCGTCGCCAGCTCCTCCTTTTACCCCTGGCACTCCTTTTAATCCCGGTACTCCAGCTAATCCCCACAAGCCTTTTTTTCCTTTAATGGAAACACCACCAAGTCCACGAGAACCCTGGTCTCGTTGCTCCCCCTTGTCTCCTCGATCTCCCTGTTTCCCGTTTATACCTTGTACATTATCCCCAGGAATACCTGCTTCTCCTTTTGCTCCATCCCCTCCGTGAGTGCCATCAGCTCCGGTGTTACCTAAAGAGAATGTTAGGTTTGACAATGAGAAGTATAGCACAATGAGATTCCCCTCACAAAGTACAATAGTAGTAGCAAGTAGTAAGTAGCAAGTATAACGTGCATCGTTATAACGCAGTTATTTTGGCAGATTGTTTCCACCCTCGATGCACGTTATAGCGAGTTTTACAATAAATACTGTACTTGAGTGGAAATTATTACCTGGAGCTCCTTGAGGTCCCTCGTAACCCTGCTTTCCTTCGACTCCCTTTTCTCCATCTTGACCAGATACTCCCTCTTCTCCTCGTACTCCTTTCGCCCCCTGTGCTCCAAGTTCTCCAGGAGTACCCTTGTCTCCGCTATTTCCAGCCGGTCCTGTTGTTCCTTTTCGTCCGGTCTCTCCTAATGCTCCGGTATCTCCTTGTTCACCTGTTGATGGTTACGAATGAAATCAAATTTCCTGAAAGAATTACAATTGACTGTGCATCATTTACGTGAACGATATATTTGTCGGAAAATATATTGAATTCGTATTATCTCTCTATATTTTTCAGTCGACAAGAAATTATAGTAATGTTTTTGAGTCTTTTCCGTTATATCCATTATTCCTTGTTTAAAAGTTTGCAACTTTCATTGAATAAACAAATGTTGATTAGCGATAAACCATAACAAAATGAATCTTTAGACCGTTAACTTTAAGTACACAACTTTAAAAATTAATACTGTGCCCGTTGGGATTTTTTAATTATCCGACGTGCTAAATCACTCTACAGTCAATATTGATCGCTATTATAATGTAAAACATACTGCTATACTGTAAGAATAATGCTTTAATTTTATAGTACCATGACTATAAGCTGTAGAGATGACAATACGGACTGTTGATGCACCAAGAAAATTAATTTACACTTTGGGGTGACTGCGAAAGATGAGACCGTTTATATTGTGAAATTTATCGGTGTAGACAACTGATCTCCAACAGGGTAGACGTGGCTAAATTTCAATAAAATATAACCAATAACTAAATTGCTTGCCCTCATATCAATCAATATTCTAATTGAATAGTTTTATAAAACTGTTTGATTAAAATAAGGAGGGTGACTTTCAAAAATATCTAAAAATATGATTCACTTTCAAGTTGGATTTAACCTTTATTGCCGGGGACTCCAGATAGACCTTTAGATCCTTCGATTGTGTCGATTCTGGTCTCACCAGGATCTCCTCTGTGTCCTGCAATGCCTGAAACACCCGGTCTGCCATCTTTAGCACCTTCACCATTTTCACCGACAAATCCCTTTACTCCAGCAGCGCCACTAGCACCAGTTTGTCCAGTCTCCCCTTTTGGTCCTTGGTCTCCACTTTTCCCAGAATCACCCTCATAACCCTTAATTCCTTGAGATCCTTCGATTCCTTCATCTCCTTTATCCCCTTTTGCTCCAACCTCCCCTGGGTCGCCTTCAATACCATCAAATCCAGATGAACCATGCAGACCAGTGTGCCCTACTTTCCCAGAATTTCCTGATTTTCCAGGCGCTCCTTCAAGACCAGGAACCCCTGCTCCGTCCTGTCCCTTCTCTCCCTGATAACCTCGCGCACCTTTATCTCCTCTAACTCCGGGTATCCCAGGTATCCCGGCTACTCCAGGATCACCAGTTCCGCCCTGATCACCTTGATCCCCGCGTGGTCCTCGAACTCCATGTCCTCCCTCAGCTCCTTTAACTCCAGCTTTGCCAGGAGACCCAGTGTTTCCAGGACGACCACGGTTTCCAGGGAGCCCAAACAAACCCTGAAAATGAAACAAAATCATTGTAAAGTATAAAGGTTGCAGTACCACATTGTGAAATGAATTCATAAATGGGAAAACAACAATAAAGAAATTTGTTAATGCAAAATACATTTTAAACTATCATATTATCATTTATGGTTTTGACTCAATAAATATAAATTACTCCAAAAAACGGCTGCTTTGAACAATTTATTGAAAATATTTCAATGAATATGGTGGTTTTTAATAACACTAACCCAGACACCACGATCTCCAGGCAGACCATCCTCTCCAGGATCACCAGGGTCTCCTTGGTCTCCTTTAACAACGTCACCAGGCGGGCCTGGACCTCCGGGGGCTCCTCCTGATCCAGGTCTACCATCCACACCGCGTACCCCCTGTTTATTAGTTTTACTGAGTTACTTCATCGGTCTAGGATTTGGGCAACCGCGGAACAAAAACGACGGAATATTTGAATTAATATCTAAATTTGAAACACTGGTTATATATGATACCAGATTCTCTCACAAATTAATGCTGATGCCCCAACTTAGTAATTAATCGCACGATGCGCTGTGATGTATACATAACTCAGGTAATGCATACATAACTCTGTTGATGTATACATAACTCAAATGAAATCCAGGACCGCAGGCTCTAAAAGCTTTTTTGTGCCATTAGATTTCCTTAATCACTAATACAGAACGACTAAAATATTTACTAAGATAACTATGGGAGGCCGATTATCAGGGGTCAGATCATATCATCAATTACATACATGTTACATGGTAAGGTCTCCTCCTAGTCGTTGGAGTGGCCTGCATCACACACATCGCGTTGGCGGCGTAACATATGTCTCCACTGTACTCGGTTGGTAGCCAAAGCTTCTGTTGTGTCGTTGTCGATGTTTTCAACACCTGTAAACTTGGCAGCATCTTCGAGTACGCAGGACTTCCAGTTCTTACGGGGTCTGCCCCTTGACCTCTTTCCATAATTTGGCTTCCAGTTCAACAGAAACCTCGGTAGTCTAGAGTCTGGCATTCTAACTACATGTCCATACCAACGTAGCCTGGCAGCACTGATGAAAGTCTCAACTGACTTGATGCCAGCCCTCCTAAGAACTTCGTCGTTGGTCACATGAAAGAACCATTTAATCCTAAGGATCCTTCTCAAGGAGGTTTGATGGAAAACCTCGAAGCGTTTCATCTGCTTTTTGGTGGTGTTCCAGACTTCAGCTCCATACAACAAGATGGTGAGGACAGCAGCCCTATACCTTACAAGACTTTTTTGTGGCGGACCAATTTGCGACGACCGAAATTTTGGCGGTCCGAAAATATGGCGAAATTGAACAAAAACCGTCACATTTCGGACGTCACAGAAAATAAGGGTATTTTTCATCATTTTGTTTTCTGACACAAAGGAAATTCAAAATTTTCTAAAAATCGGTAAAATCATGTTGAAACAAAATGAAACTTATAAATCGATTTCTTCATCTTCCTCTATACTTAAGGGGTCCGGCTCGACTCTTTCAGTTTCACGCTGTTCTCCAGTGTACTCCCAGGAGTAATATTCTCGGATAAGCGTATTACTTGACATTAAATTCATCATGGAATATTGTGTTTATTTGTCCCACCATTATATCACTAACTTTTCAAGAACAAAATGAATCGATGAAGCCACAATTATTGGAATGAGCTAAAAATAATGCGACGGATTCTATTACGACGACCGAAATTTTGGCGGTCCGAAAATATGGCGAAATTTCGGGAAAACCGTCGCATTTCGTACGTTATGAAAAAGTCTTGTAAGGTAGATCCTGATCTTGGTTGGAGTCTTTATAGTTCTGCTATTCCAAATGTTCCAGAGCTGATGAAAGGCGCCATTAGCCTTCTGGATACGGACATCCAGGTCTCTGTTGATTGTCCCATCCCCACTGATAGTTGCACCCAGGTAGACAAAGTTGCTAACCTGCTCGACGGGTTCACCCTCAACCGACAGCTCAATACAATCATCCTTGATGAAAGGTCGCTGGGAGGCGCACTTGCTTACAGCCATGCATTGGGTCTTCTTTGCATTTATCCTGAGCCCAGCGTAGGAGCTGTAATGAACTAATAGATCAGTTGATTCCTGTAGGCCTTCCCCTGAGTTGTCCATAATAGCCATGTCATCAGCATAGTCGGTGTCCAGAATGACCTTTTCCTCGACCGTCTTCATCTCTTTCTGCAGCACTGCGCCTTGACTGATGATCTTGTTGGTCTCAGCCAGAAATGCAGAAAATTTTAGGCAGAAATTAAAGACAGGAGGTGCTTGAATGTCACCCTGACCTGTGCCTGAGTTAACATCAAACCAGTCTGTCAGTTCCCCATTAACCCTCACGGCACTCATGGTACCCCCAAAAAATGACTGAAAAATTCGGACATATTTTTCAGGCAGCCCATAGTGTCTCATACTGCACCAAATAAAGTCCCTTCTGATAGAATCGAACGCTGCCTTGAAATCCACAAAATTAATGTAAAGAGGAATGTTAAACTCAAGACAGTTATGAATAATAGTTCGGAGAGAATAAATCTGATCAATACATGAGCGGTTCTGTCTAAATCCGCACTGATTCTCCCTGAGGAGACACTCCATACCAGCATGTAACCGCTTAAGAAGAATCATCTGAAAAAGCTTGGATGCTGTAGACCTTAAGGTGATCCCTCTGTTGTTCCCACAGACTGAAGTGTCTCCTTTCTTCCCAATAACAATGATCACACCCTTTAACCAATCTTCAGGAACAGTCTCTTCTTCCCACACTTTCTTGAATAGACACTCTAGTTGATCAACTAGAGCACTCGCACCATACTTCAGTTGCTCGTTAGTTATCCCGTCCACTCCTGGGCTTTTGTTGTTCTTAAGCTTTGTCAGGGAATAACTAATCTCGTCTCTGGTGGGTGGTCCATCCGAACAAGAGAGAGAGTTAAAGTGGGGTTGGGGTGGTACTGTATCAAGGTCGGCAAGGTCGACACTTGATAATGGAGGGTTCAGAAGTTCAGTAAAGTGCTCCTTCCACCTGTCCCTCTGCTGTTGGGGATCCGTGATCTTCCTACCGTCCTTGTCCCGGACACAAGATGCTTGAGGCTTCTTGTTCTTACCAGAGATCTTCTTGATCTTTGCCCATACCTCACGCTGCTGACCTTTGCTCGCTGCTTCCTCAAGATCAGTAGCTACTCTAACTGCCCAGTTATTGTCGTCTAGCTTGCTGCTTTTCTTGACTAACTTATTAAGTTTAGAATACTCTGACCTGTTAGCGTCTGAGTTTGGGTCTTTGCGCTTAAACTGTGCCCGCTGAATCAATAAATCCTTGGTCTTCCGTGACAGGTGTTGCTCCTTTGCCTTCCGGGGTCTTTTGCCTAGTACCTCCAGTGAGACATCAGTGACGGTCTGACTGAGATTACGCCACACATTAAAATCGCCGAGCAGTAACTTGATATCGTGACGAGGTAGCCCATCAAATGTATCTGTGAGTGTCCTATAAAACTTATCTTTCTCACTCTCCTCTGCACCCTCAGTTGGAGCATAGGCCACAACAACAGAGATGTTGATTTGCTTACTATGCAGCCTAGCAGTTAAAACCCGCTCCGATGTGGGAGTGAACGATATCAGGGAGTTTCTGATTCGTTTTGAAAGACTGAGACCGACTCCCTGTCTCTTGATTCCGTCGACTCTACCGGAATGGATGAGTAGACTTCCATTGTCCAGTAGAGTGGTGCCAGATCCAGGCATGTGAGTCTCGGTGATCCCCAAAAGATCCAATCTGTACTGATCAATGTTTTGACTAAGTTGGTAGAGCTGTGTAGATGAGCTGACAAGAGATAGAACGTTCCATGTTCCAAAACGTAAAAACTGTTTGCAATAATTTACTGGATTGGATTTGTTGGAAGCAGGGTCAACATGGATGATCTGTTGACTAATAAATCTGGTCGGATGACGAGTACCCCCTCTTCTCATCAGGCGACTGGGGTCCCGTAGGCTTTGCCCAGCCTCCGTCATGCTGGAACCATCCGTCCTTGAATTGGAAGTAGCACTCCGTCATATCATATCATCAATTAGTGACGTATAATTAGCGATGTGATAACTTATAATACCGCTAATCCGTCAGATATCAAAATCAGTTTGTTTTCTTTTACGAAATTATTACCTTGTTTCATATGTAAAATCCGGATTGGAGTATTGTTTATGAGTCGCATTGTTGTAATGCGTAAAATTATCTTTATCCCGGTTACTGCGACAAGTAAAAATGCTCTTATTAGGGAAAGGAGTTTACTCGACGTTTCAATGTAACTACATCGTATTCATGATGTTCTACATTCATATGTTCTATTCTCAGAGTCTGATCATGTTAATGTTATTGTTAAATGTTAACTGACACTTGCTTGTGCTTGCACAAAGTCGAATTTAAGGAACACTACTCAACTTTATTTATTTTCCTCATTCATACTTTCAACAAATATATACTGACAAAACTTACCTTAAAACCGGGGTGACCAGGTTGGCCAGGTTTGCCAGGTGTTCCATCAGTACCATTGCAGCCGTCTACACCCGGTAATCCATCTCTACCGTCATATCCAACCCTTCCGTGAGGTCCCTGTGGTCCAGAAGCTCCTCCCCTTCCTCTCTCCCCCTGTGGGAGGAACATAAGTAGTAGTACTGGCATACTTTTCAAGTCCTGCATATTTATTAAATTAAGAACGATGATTTCAGTTTGTCAAGTTAAAAGTAAAAAAATAAGCCGGAACTTACTCGGGCTCCCTTTATTCCACTAAGGCCACGTAGACGACCTTTGGTTCCTTTTAGACCAGGTGGTCCGACGTTCCCCCGCAATCCTGGTCTACCAGGAGGGCCAACTGATCCCACGAGACCTGGTGGTCCTTCGAACCCTTGACGGCCTTGCTTTCCTGGGATCGGAGATTAGGATCACGATCCTGGGATCACGATCATTTTTGCAAGGTTGAATTTTGGCTAAGTTAAAATGATGGACGTTTAAAACCGTGATGAGTGCTTTGGTTGTTTTCGTGCCGATCAAAACCTTACCTAGCTTGCTTATTGCTAGTTTATTGCTCGCTCCTCTCACGTTCAGGAAGCTTGAAAAGAGCGCCGCTCACAAGGACTGCCCTGCCAGGTAAATCAAAACCAAGTACAATTACACAATAGCCGATAACATAGTCGATATTTATTATTAATGCTTACATGGAAAATTTGCCATCAATCACGCGATCCTATTCCTTATTCCTACCAATGGAATATGCCTTTATAAATATGTTTTTATAAATATAGATGAATATTTAAAATTCCACACAAAACTCTTAACGAACACATCTTGTCTAAATAGCTTAGTACAATGTTTACCTCTAGAAGCTCTCACAGGTGTAGAGCAGCAGTCTTTGGGGAAAGCTTCGGGGTCAGGCTCAGTTTTAACACACACAACAAAAAGGAGGGTAAGTAGGACCAAACTTCGGGATACCATTCCTCTGCTGAAACTGGGAGCTTAGATATGTGAATTTCATTTGAATTAAAGATGTGTAATTATGATCACGTTACTACGTTAGGTTCTGGTTATACTTATAGGACACAACGCGCAAAGATGTGCAACGTGTTAATTTTAGGCGGCGGCGGTCTGGACGCCAAAATTGGTCGGCGGCGGCAGTCTGACCACGGTCTGACTATGACACATCTAAACCGCGGTCTGTGAGGTGTACTGTGTACATTATGGTAATTTGGTTGTGTTACTGATGAATATGAATCGATTTCTTAATATCACTCTACATTGAAGAACTAATTCATCGTTAATATATTAATATATATAACAGCTGTATTTGTTGATCTGACGGCCAATACTATACCTCAAAGACCGCGGTCAAGCTTCAAAATTTCGCGGCGGGGGGGGGGGGTCTGAGACTTGCTGACCAGCTGACGTCAGCAGAAATACCTGCATTTTGGCAAAAACTGAACTCTGTTGACCAACTGTTCAAATAAGTCAGACATAAATCCCAGGGTCCCTGCCTACACCCCCCTCAGGATTTCAAAACACCCTCGCTGGCTGACATGAGGGAGGGGGTAAAGGGGTAAAATTGGCCAAAATATTGCTGACGTCATAGACATATGTGAACGCTTTCATACGACGGCGGTGGACAGTACGGTGGTGGACACTACGGTGGTGAATAGTACGGTGGTGAATAGTACGGTGGAGGACAGTACGGTGGAGGACAGTACGGTGGAGGACAGTACGGTGGAGGACAGTACGGTGGTGAATAGTACGGTGGAGGATAGTACGGTGGAGGACACTACGGTGGAGGACAGTACGGTGGAGGATAGTACGGTGGTGGACAGTACGGTGGTGGACAGTACGGTGGAGGACAGTACGGTGGAGGACAGTACGGTGGAGGATAGTACGGTGGAGGACAGTACGGTGGTGGACAGTACGGTGGTGGACACTACGGTGGTGGATAGTACGGTGGAGGACAGTACAGTGGAGGACAGTACGGTGGTGAATAGTACGGTGGAGGACAGTACGGTGGTGGACAGTACGGTGGAGGACAGTACGGTGGTGGATAGTACGGTGGATGACAGTACGGTGGAGGATAGTACGGTGGTGGACAGTACGGTGGAGGACAGTACGGTGGTGGACAGTACGGTGGAGGACAGTACGGTGGAGGACAGTACGGTGGAGGACAGTACGGTGGTGGACAGTACGGTGGTGGACACTACGGTGGTGGATAGTACGGTGGAGGACAGTACAGTGGAGGACAGTACGGTGGTGAATAGTACGGTGGAGGACAGTACGGTGGTGGACAGTACGGTTTAAGATTAATGCAAGTAAGACGTTCGGTTCGAGACAAGAAAAATTAACGGCATGTGCATTCAGCTTTGTGCAAAGTGGTAACTCTGTACACTGTAGAAACCGGGAATTAGTTTTATCTTATAATCTCAATAGTATTAAACTTAGACCATTATTTAATTTATAAAATGATTAATATAAATAAGATATTAGTTTTACGGGACCGCAATGACTGTAAGTCTAAAAGTAAATCTATGATCTATCATTCGATCGAAAATTCTGCAGAGAACAAATTTTACGCTCCCACGTACTACTACTACTACTACCACTACTACTCCTACAACTACTACTACTACTACTCCCACTACTACTCCCACTACTACTCCCACTACTACTCCCACTACTACTACTACTACTACTACTACTACTACTACTACTACTACTACTACTACTACTACTACTACTACTACTACTTCCTCCACTACTACTACCACTACTACCACTACTACCTCCACTACTACTCCCACTACTACTCCCACTACTACTCCCACTACTACTCCGATCCCACTACTACTACTACTACTACTACTACTACTACTACTACTACTACTACTATTACTACTACTACTACTACTATAACTACTACTACTACTACTACTACTATTACTACTACTACTACTACTACTACTACTACTACTACTACTACTACTACTACTACTACTACTACTACTACTACTACTACTACTCCCACTACTACTCCTACTACTACTACTACTACTACTACTACTACTACTACTACTACTACTACTACTACTACTACTTCCTCCACTACTACTACCACTACTACCACTACTACCTCCACTACTACTCCCACTACTACTCCCACTACTATTACCACTACTACTACTACTACTCCCACTACTACTCCCACTACTACTACTACTACTACTACTACTACTACTACTACTACTACTACTACTACTACTACTACTACTACTACTACTACTACTACTACTACTACTACTTCCTCCACTACTACTACCACTACTACCACTACTACCTCCACTACTACTCCCACTACTACTCCCACTACTACTCTCACTACTACTCCCACTACTACTCCCACTACTACTACTACTACTACTACTACTACTACTACTACTACTACTACTACTACTACTACTACTACTTCCTCCACTACTACTACCACTACTACCACTACTACCTCCACTACTACTCCCACTACTACTCCCACTACTACTCCCACTACTACTCCCACTACTACTACTACTACTACTACTACTACTACTACTACTACTACTACTACTACTACTACTACTACTACTACTACTACTACTACTACTACTTCCTCCACTACTACTACCACTACTACCACTACTACCTCCACTACTACTCCCACTACTACTCCCACTACTACTACTACTACTACTACTACTAATACTACCACTACTACTCCCACTACTACTCCCACTACTACTCCCACTACTACTCCCACTACTACCTCCACTAATACTCCCACTACTACTCCCACTACTACTCCCACTACTACTACTACTACTACTACTACTAATACTACCACTACTACTCCCACTACTACTCCCACTACTACTCCCACTACTACTCCCACTACTACCTCCACTACTACTCCCACTACTACTCCCACTACTACTACTACTACTACTACTACTAATACTACCACTACTACTCCCACTACTACTCCCACTACTACTACTACTACTACTACTACTACTACTACTACTACTACTACTACTACTACTACTACTACTACTACTACTACTACTACTACTACTTCCTCCACTACTACTACCACTACTACCACTACTACCTCCACTACTACTCCCACTACTACTCCCACTACTACTACTACTACTACTACTACTAATACTACCACTACTACTCCCACTACTACTCCCACTACTACTCCCACTACTACTCCCACTACTACCTCCACTACTACTCCCACTACTACTCCCAATACTACTCCCACTAATACTCCCACTACTACTCCCAATACTACTCCCACTAATACTCCCACTACTACTCCCACTACTACTCCCAGTTCCCACTACTAGTCTCACTATAACAACTAGTTTTGCGGTCACGTTACTGCAATTAAATGTGCAATGACAGACTCTAAATCTATTTTTCGATTGAAAATATTCTAGACTTTCGGGAAAATAATTTATTACCTGACTTGATTCACGATGTTAATCCTTCGCAGCTCGGTTAGGCCCAGTGCATGGTGCATCGCGCTACAATTACCTGACTTGCTAATACTATTGCTATAACGAACCGAGCGTGCTAAATCACAAATCACTCTACAGTCGATCTTCGAGATTGTTCTAAAAAGGCCCCCGGCCGGCCGACGGTTATAACCAACTTCAATCTATGAATTTTTGGACGCTGCATTTTGCAAGTTAGTATGCATAATTGTATTACATATATTCATATGCAGAGCTTGGCTTACATAATGCAGCGATTTCATTGGACGAGAGCAACTTTTGGCGACGTTTGACTACACATGGCAGCGTTTGATCGAAAACCTGGTTTCAGCTCCCCCTGTGCTTACTGCGTGATCCGCTTGTTTCACAATTGTAGAATATCTCTCGCGCGATTCACCTAACCATGTGCTTTCGCGCCACTGCGGGCGCGCTTGTTTCACAAGTCAAGCCGTGAGGCGGGCGCGCGCTACTGCAAGCGCAAGGGCTCTGGATAGAGCAACTCGCGCGATACTACAAGCGAGAGGGCTCTGGTTAGAGCAACCTAAACAATACTTTTTACTTGTATGATCACGTCGTGACCCCTATATATTGTCGTTTCGCTATAGAGTTTCTACGATGCATGGGGAGCCGCGCACTTGACGGATGTTACTCGTCTAAATTTCTTCGAAGTAGCGCGCGCGCCGCTTTCTTCTCGAAATGGCCCGACGGCAAGTGCTACGAAGTAGCGCGCGCCGGGCCAGACCATTAACAATGGTCAAGCCGCGCACTCGTGCGCGGCGGGTTTGCTCTAACCAGAGCCCTCTCTAAGAGCAGTACGCGTATACACATGGCTATGTAAAGCGGCGGGTCATACAACGTATGACAACTTTTTACTGCATCAAAAATATCAATCACAACCAAAGTTTTAATGGGTGATACTCGTAAAATATTTGTTTCAAATATTTATTTCAAGGCCGCGTCGACGAGTCCAACTCAGTGGCGGGCGTTTTGGTTGACGGATGTTACTCGTCTAAATTTCTTCGAAGTAGCGCGCGCCGCTTTCTTCTCGAAATGGCCCGACGGCACGAGCTACGAAGTAGCGCGCGCCGGGCCAGATCATTAACAATGGTCAAGCGTTTTGGTAAGTTTTAAAACTACAAATGCAAATAAAAATCGATCAAAAACTTAGTTTCAGCCCCCGCCCCCACCCCCCCTGTGTTCTCGAAATATTATTATTATCACGTACTAACTCTGCCGAGGCATGCAAAGTGCTACTGAGCTGAGCTTAGTAGCGCGCGCCAGGTTAGTTTAGTTATTATACTATCACTGTATATATTATATTACATAATAACCATTTATATTATATGTTAACAATGAACAGGTAAATTGGGTGTTTATCTAGCTAGCCATGAGTCTACGCGTACTGCGTGACGCACTTGTTTCACCTTCGGCGGTCCGGTCGCGCGCTACTGCAAGCGAGAGGGCTCTGGATAGAGCAGACGTTAAGATTAGTATCAAATAAAGGGTTTCTGGGTGCCCGGTTTTTGTAATAACATATATTATAAAACTTTTGTGTTCGTAAACACAAATATTTTTTATTGTGTTCGTATAAACATTAAGAATTTCATGACAAAATGTGAACATTTAAAATATAATTTGAAACATTACAGGAACGTTATTCAAATCTCAAACAGAAACAGTATATAACAAAGTTTTGTGTTTTGATCATATGATCGTGGATGTATAGTGATTGATTGCATAATTTTGAATTTGATTGATGGTGATTGTGAGTGAGAAGATGTTTGGAGTGCCAGCCAGTAACTCTGTCAAATGAACAGCCCATTGAAGAGCGAATGAGCGCAATTTCGCAGGAACAGCAGAGAGGGTGGCACAAAACGGCACACACGGAAAGGACGAAACAAAAAAGAAAAAACGCCGTGCGCGGTAAGCTTGTGAATGACAATTTAGTTGTAGGTTTACAACCTACCAGGACGCGCGCCGAGTTGGACTCGTCGCCGGTAATATATCATATATGGAACAGATATTTTACGAGCATCACCCGTTAACAATTTAGGCGCGCAGAGCACCGTTAAAAATAACGGACAATGATTTTACACTACTCGTTTGAAAGTTATGAGAACTTCGAGCGCTTAGTTTTAAGGGGGCCGGGGGGGGTCTTCATCAAAATTCTCTCGAAATTGACTTTATAGTTGTTTCTGGTAGAAGGGAGTGATATCTACCAGCTGCTTTTGGTCCCATGGAAAAATATTGTTCCTAGCCGAAATTATTGCCGGTCTAAGGTCAGCGCTTATGTGTATTTGTATTGCGCGAGCGATTTTCAATCGCAAATTCTGAAAATCGAGTCTAAAAATCTATCTTCTCCTACAGTTTTTGAGCAATCACCCTGAAACTTTCAGGATATGTTCTAGGGACCATTTAGAAGATTTGATCGAGCCAAAATTTTGAGATAGGCCTTTAAAAATTTTTTATTCAATTTTGAAAATCTTGGACCTGAAAAAATCGTAAAAAAACGAGGTCCAAGATTTTCAAAATTGAATAAAAAAATTTTAAAGGCCTATCTCAAAATTTTGGCTCGATCAAATCTTCTAAATGGTCCCTAGAACATATCCTGAAAGTTTCAGGGTGATTGCTCAAAAAATGTAGGAGAAGATAGATTTTTAGACTCGATTTTCAGAATTTGCGATTGAAAATCGCTCGCGCAATACAATTACACATAAGCGCTGACCTTAGACCAGCGATAATTTCGGCTAGGAACAATATTTT